CGAATAGAATAAATGATCGAATAACTTGGGTCAAAATCGAATAGAATAAATGATCGAATAACTTGGGTCAAAATCGAATAGAATAAATGATCGAACTAATGTAGTTATTTCGAACATATGGATATCCATAAAAGTAATATAACAAGACCCTATGGCGAGGGTACACTGGGATACCTGGAAGAAGGGGGGGGGGGGGGGGGGGGGGGGGGGGGGGGGGGGGGGGGGGGGGGGGGGGCTGTGAGGGCTGTGCACTGTTTTCAACGTGCATGGAGTATTTATTGGGTTAATGTTTTCAAAAATACTTATCAAGTAGAACTGATAAAAAACTCATTCTGGAACTCCAATTCCAGTTCTGGTACTTATTTTGGCATACGTGATTAGATTATTGTACGATCATGTTTCATAAACATACACATTCGCACGGGAATTGTATAGCTCGCTTTCAAATCAAAATGCTTAATTTAAAGCGTAAATACATATAACATAAAATCATACGATAAAACCTGGAAATTCAGTGTAAAAAAACGCTTACGTTCCGTACAATCCAGCCAAGCGAAGTCCAGTCTATTCCATCTCTGCACGGTTCCGGATTTTCCAAAATTAAAAAACACTCAAAATTCGGACATTCAGAAGAGGAAAACAAGTTTTATCAGTTGGACATGTTTTTGCTATACATTAAAATTATCCATGGCCTTTCAAAACGTGAAAATTCAAAAAAATTTTTTTTGGGAGATTTAAGTTTCAATGACTGACCTAGGTCCAGTCACTTTCAATCCATTTCGGTCACAACCAATCTATTCCTGTCACATCGAAGTAATATACAATTTATCTCAATAATGGAGTAAAAATAGACGTAAAAATCTGTAACGATTCACATAGTCACTTATAGACACATGATGTATACAGTCCTTTGAAAAACGTTTGTCGCTGACAGTACTTCATCCAGAACCACGATCCAAAACATTAAAAGATATTTTGCATTTATTCTTATTATTATTATTACTATTATTATTATTATTTTGCGAAATTTCAGAATAGAATCAATAGTAATTTTTAATAAAATAAAAATCGTGAGATAAAAGCTGCAAATTTGGCGTTAAAAAGCGTCTACGTTCCGTACAATCCAGCCAACCGAAGTCCAGTTCATTCCATCCATGTTCGGTTCCGGATTTTCCAAAAATAAAAAACACTCAAAATTCAAGCATTTAGAAGAGGAAAACAAGTTTTAGAAGTTGTGCATGTTTATGCTATACATTAAGATTATGCATGGCCTTTCAAAACGTGAAAATTCAAGAAAAACGTTTTTTGGTGATTTAAGTTCCAGTCAAAGACCGAGGTCTAGTCACTTGCAATCCTTTTCAGTCACAACCAATCCAATCCAGTCACATCCAAGTAATTTCCAATTTATCTCAATAATGGAGTAAAAATAGACGTAAAAATCTGTTACAATCCACAGAGTCACCAATAGACACATGATGTATACAGTGCTTTGAAAAACCTTTGCCGCTGACCGGCTTCACAGGACGGCAACCAGTGCCACGATCTAAAACGTAAAAAAAACATTTTGCATTTTCTTTTTTCTTTTTTTTTTKTTTTTGTTGCGAAATTTCAGTATAGAATCAATAGTTATTTATGATTAAATAAGAATCATAAGATAAAGGCTGCAAATTCGGCGTTAAAAAATGTCTACGTTCCGTACAATCCAGCCAAGCGAAGTCCAGTCCATTCCATCCATGTCCGGTTCCAGATTTTCCAAAGTTAAAAAACACTCAAAATTCTAGCTTTTAGAAGAGTTGAACAAGTTTTAGAAGTTGGGCATGTTTTTCCTATACATTAAAGTTATCCATGGCCTTTCAAAAAGTAAAAAAAATTTTTTTTTTGTCACATCCAAATAACATCCAATTTATCTTAATAGCATCTTGATGGAGGAAAATTAGTATCCAAAATGGAATAGAATAAATGAACAAACGACTTGGGTCAAAATCGAACGGTTGATAATGAACTTAAGTGAATGTTCTTTTTCCTCTGATATATTATAACATAGGAGAGGTTTCTTTTTATGCTCGTGACAATCATTCATTCAAACATTAACTCTCATAAAGTTCAATCTATTTTTCTTATGCATTTTTTTCGACTAAATATTTTTGTTTTTGTACGTGTAGGTACAGTGGCACGCCAAGGCCCGGGTGGCAGCAGGGGTTAATTTTTATATCGTAGGGCGGGACCCTGCAGGAATGCCCCACCCAGAGCATCCTGATCAAAACCTTTATCATCCAAGTCACGGCAGAAAGGTAAAGAAACAAGATATCATGTATATATATAACGATAGATTATATCAAGAAGAACTTATTAAACCAATCAGAACTGGCGATCACATCAATAGGTCATCGTCACCTCACCCTCTCCTCAGCAATAGAATGAATGGCACAGAGTGAATAACCTTCCCTCACACCCCATCTTATATACCCATGAGCCCTTGATTATACCCAGGCCCTTGACTCGTGCCGGCAGAATATCAATTTCTGACTTCTCGTTCCGTTGTTGAGCCGTCAGAAATTACATTTGTTGTGGACCAATCAGAGCTCTCGTTATATGATAACCCATGCTTTTTTTTAGGTACTCACAATGGCCCCAGGCCTCACTCAACTCGAGATAGTACCATTCCGTGTAGCAGCGTACAACACGCGCAAACACAAGATGGATTTCTTTGATCCCGAACACAAGGAAGACTTTGATTTTATATCTGGTACGCGCATGCGTGGTTTAGCTCGTGCGGGAGAAGACCCTCCTGATGGCTTTATGGCTCCCATGGCTTGGAAGATTTTGTCAGAATATTATCAATCCATACGCAATTAACGTTAATCTAATGTTAATGAAATGCATACAGTCAATTCAAAAAACGTTGTCGTCGACCAACCTAAGCCTACGCGACTGGACCGAAAGGAACTCTGGGTAGCAATCATTGAAGCCGAGTTGACTCCATAATTTTATCTGACTAGTTATGCCTGGTTTACAGCACGAACCTTCGTAGGCAAGCGGGAGGTGTTGAAGGAGACGTCTTTTTAATGCCTTCATATTTTCGAAATTGTGAACTGAATCATAMCTACTTTGTTTTTCTTTCCCTAAACCCAAAGACATGCATTTAATGGATTTTTTCTCGCCATTATTATCTTATTACTAGCGGGAACAATTAATTCAGAACGAATATTTAACCGCTTCAGTGATTTTTACCCATATTCCTTTCGGTCCAGTCGCGTAGGCTTGAGCCGGTCGACGACAACGTTTTTTGAATTGACTGTATAATGATGGCGTCAATTTACCACCACTACCAAAATGCTTCATGAATTTTCTTCATATTCAAATTTGTATTTCCTCATGAGAATAATAAGACAATTGGTGCTAATTAACTGAAGGAAAAAGTGTGCAAGGTATTCTGGTAGTGGTAGTAAATAACACTATAGGGACATATTGCTAATAGTAATAATTAGTAGGTCGAATCTGCGATACAGGTATACAGCAGTTTCCCCATGAGAATACTTGACATTATTTTCTTTTTAACAATTTTGGGAAGTTATCAATTACTATTTCAATATCGTATTATCGTTGAAAGGTTTCTTTACATAACGATGAAAAGCGATACAACTATAAGTTGGACAATCTTAAGGATAAAGTTTCGCAAAAAGAGAAAAAGTATACCTCGGCAATGAATTCGCCTGAGAAACGATAACTTATATTCTCTCTAATACAGGTTATATTTTATCTTATTTCATGAAATGCATGGGGTATTACAATTATGTAATTTATCATTATTGTTTTAATTCATTTTAATGATTTTGTAAATCATGACTGGGATTTTTCACCCATTTCATAAGGGTATTTGGAATCAAATGGAAGTCAAATCATTAAAGAACATTTTTCGCTTTATTTTTATTTTAGCGTTTTTTGTGAACAGTTAGACACGGAAATACGTCACAACTTAAAAGCTCTATGACGTAGTAACAGGTGTGGGACTTCCGGTCAACCAAACGCATTTTTGATGCAAAGTGGTTTATTGTACACATGACTTACAGCAAGAAGCATTTAAATGGTTTTCTATCATCTTTGATTGACAGTCAGTAGCAGATGAGAGGAGTGATTCTCTTCTAACTGGTTGAATGTATTAAAGACCAGAGAGAAGTTACACTCAAAACATCAGACACTGTTCTACCGACATGTGCGGTTTACGAACAGCTCGTCATGGACTCAACTGAATCAAATGACAACGCAATCAAAGAAATCAAAACCATTATTACTACTTCTGGTATTACAAACTTCATTTGACTCTGCCGACAAAAAAGTTTTCGTAGACATCCATTTTTCATTAAAAAATTGTTGAAATTTTACTTTCACGTGACGTCATATGGTCGCCATATTGGAAAAACGCGATTACGTCAACCGAAATTAATACCAATATAACTGATCATTAAGAAGGTCTTCAACATTTAAAGACCTTTTACACTTTGATATCAAGAGTTTAATGTCTTGGGTTAATTCTTTTGGTTCTACGGGTGATGAGTAGCGTCGGTAAGGCTGTCCCGTGTGGTCAATAAGAAACTTCTCAAAGTTCCAGCTGATGTCGTTGTTACGGACTGGTGACCAGGAAATGGATTTCAGATCATCGATGTAGCCATCTGGAGATGGACAGCGGCTCTGAAAAACAAAATTTTCGATTATGAAAAGATCTTTTCAATGGATGCGAAGAAGTAGTTTACATATAGTCATATGAAAGCTCTTAAACTATATTCTCTTAAACCATATTTCCATGGATGGACGAACGGATGGATGAATGGGGATGGGTGGGTGGATGGATGGATGGATGGATGGATGGATGGATGGATGGATGGATGGATGGATGGATGGATGGATGGATAAGCTTTAATTTATGCAGGTGATAGCTTAACATTCCGTCGATCATAACAGATTCGCCAATTGATAAGAACCATGGTGCTACATACACTTACTTTAAGATAAGTAAATATCTCATCCTGTTCTTCACCATTGACATCTCTCTTCTCCACCAGAGGAAAGTTGGGCTTGTATCCATTCCCTGGTCTCACGTACTTCAAACCGTTCATAATCTCGTATTCATTCTTTCCTGGTTCTTGAAGTCCAAACTGATTACACGGAAAACCAATAATCTCTAACGGACAATGTCCAGTAGAATTATACTTATCTTTCAATACATTCAGTTGTAGGTATTGCATAGTGTACATTCAAAATGTAGCGGAATTGAACGCCAGTACAACCTTGTTTCTATATTGAGCCAAATCAACTGTGCTGCCATTTAAGAACTTTGTTTTGAAGCCATGAAACGAGCCAGTGTTTGGATTATTGATGCAAGTAATGTTTGATTTGTTGGGATTTCCTGAAGAAACCAAACACCAACAACACAAGAATGAAAGGAGAGAGATTCCCCTAGAAGTAGGCGAAAGGACCATTTTACTCCTGTCCTTATAACGATGGACAAAAGAAGAAGAAAACGATCCTTTTCTAGTAGCAATCAATTCACTTACAGAACCTTAGTCCATCATAACAGGTCCCAGTCATGGTGCACGTACGGTACCAGACGAACTAACCAATCAGATTCAAGTATTTGCTCAATATTTACCTTGCTTGTACACCATAAGATCATCATAAAGGAAAAAAATGAAAATAATTTAAGAAAGAAATAATAATAAAAAGATGTCTCCTCGAAGTATTAAGCTAAGTAATCAGTAGGCAGCTACTGGCTAGAATGAAAGTTCTCAAAGAAGCCAAATAAAATAATTCGTGACTATAAATAATTCAGTAAGCAATAAATTCCTTCCCTGTCGGTTAAAAAAACAATAGCTGATTGTTTATTAGCAGTGTCACCAGCACTGTTCGCCAGTTTTCCACTCAGGCTTACTGGTGCTATTATATATATATTTAATCTTAAGAATAACCGTAGATTTGCAATGACGAAATTTGAACCCCAAATCAGTGTGTCAACCAATGCACTTTGGATGGATTTTAATCAATTGATATCGTATGTATAGCGACTTTAAAGCAGCAGCACCTGTTAGTTAATTAATAACAACGAAGTAATAAGAACAAAAACAATACACTGTTGAGTCTGCAAAACATTATAGGTAATTTTCCGGCCGCCATTTTTTTTTTTTTTTTTCTTTTTTTGCTTTCTCTCTCCACTGCCCCTCCCCCTAAGAATAAAAATGTTATCCATGGGATTTTATAGCAGGGTCATTATTGTTGGAAGTTGGACGGACAAAAATAGTGAATTGAGAAACAGAAGAAAATGGCGGGCGGAAGTTATCCCACACACTTCCCATGTCGGGCTCTTCTTCCGAACAACTGCAATTTTTGCTTAATTTCCTTTTTTGCGGCTTAGAAAAGAAACTCGTCTAAGTCGGGGATTATCCCTGAGTTAATTACTAGATGATTTTATTTTTGTTATTTTTGTATGTGTTAACTCAAAGTATATATAGTAATCATAAGCCGAAAAAAATTTGTATTGCTAGTTAGTCCGCCCAATTTCCGGACAGCTATCGTCCGTCGGGTTCTCAAAAGTAGGTAGCTCTTTGTCCAGTGTTACGAATTAACCAGTTAAAATTTAATCCTCTGGTAAAATATTACATATGAAAATTTTTCAGCTGGCTTCAGAGGGGGCAAACTATTGGGAAATCRGATAAATCGGATGGGATGTTCTGTTCGTGTAATCGGTTTATGGCTCGGTAAGTATTCGGTAAGTGTTCGGTAGTAGATCCCAGTCCTCGTGTGTGGTGTTCGAAGGGTTTGGAAGGCAGGCAGGCAGGCAGGCAAGGCATGGACATCTGCTCAAAACTCTGTTTATTTGATTTCTGGGACATACAGAAAAATATCCAATCTTTCCGGTATCAACCATTTATGTATTATGAACGGGTTTGAGGCCATTAATATTGTCAACGTAGCTTAGCAAGTTCACTTTGTGCAGATCTACGAGGTTAGACTTGCAGCTTAAAGCAAAAGGTTTACTGGTCGAAGTTTGCTTGTCGTTCATTGACATTTGTGATTTCAACTGCTTAGAGCGCCAGTTGACAGGGAAAAGACACTCTCTATTCGCCTTTTATTTAGCTTATCCAACATACTTTTAGCATGAGAAGGACTAAAGGAAGAACAGACTCTCCAGACGTTAGTTCACCTATTGTTGATGTGGGCGAAGCAACAGGACTAGCTGTAGAAGACAGCCCTTCCACTTCAACTCCAAAAGACAGAAAACACGAYCCTGAGATGAAGAAACAAGTTACTATTACAGTTCAACCAGGGGTCAAAGCAAAACCAGTCAAAAAGAAAAGACCGGCACCCTCCGCCGATCTTGTAAGAATATATTCGTAGCGCTTTATAAGTTTAATAAGAGAAATACTAGCACTTACGATTGATGTGATCTCTCGTTTATGTGTTGTATATAGTGTATGCACAATGTTCCTCTAATACAACAGTCATTTACTTATTCTCCAGGACATCCATAAAGAGATCCAGAAATGTCGGGAAGAAGGGTCGAGTCGGTTGGATCTTAGCAAGGCTGCGGTAAGCTCACTAACTAGCTTGACAGAAATGATATCAATGTTTTGTTCATGAGATTACGATTTATTTACAATCAGTCCCCTGTTTCACACAGTCAAGATTAAAAACACGTTTCTGCCTGATAATTCTCCTTTTTACTTTAATCCTTATGCCATAATATTCAGATCTTACGTTTATATATTGGTGTGACAGACCACGAATTATTTCTGTCAAATGCTTGGCAGCTAAATGTTTTCCAAGGGTTAATCAATTTAAAGCCTAAAATAATATTTTGAGGTTTAAATAATTCATGAATTGTTACTAGTAAAGATATCACTCGAATTGAAGGCTGAACTGATATATTTTAGACATCTAGAATTAAGATTGTCTTAAATTGAGTTCTTTTGCGGTGTAGGAGCAGAGCTATGTTTGTGTATTGCATGTTCGAGTCGTTCCATTTAATAYTTTGTCGCGTGATGCTGTTCAATGGTGATTACATGGGCCTTTTTTCGGTTTAGAGASCAATCTGGCTCTAGTATATGCGGATTATTCGTATTTATAGGATATAAGGATTGTAAGATCCAATATAACTCGYAATATCAAGGAATATTCATGACAAAGGGTCTAAATGCGGTTAAACTTCATTCTACCAACAGGACTCATTATTGTGGTTTTAATAAAAAGACTTTTGTATTTTCTTGGACCATTCGTTTTTCAATTTACAAGAAAAATTAATGARAAAAGGAGCATTTTTCATTGGCTTGTGTGATTAATTTGTTATTGTGTGTGAACGAATTTGCTCAATTGTTACATTAAAAGAGAGAAAAAAATCGTAACTTTCAAATTTAAGGATAAATACTCTATTGTTTATAACATGACAAATCTATGAACAATTCTGTCATAACCAAAACTGAGCAGTATTGATCACCAAGATAGACACAGAGTAATGTAGCATGGATTATTGACTGCACACTCCTAATGATGAAAATTTGACAACTTCATGCAGTGAATTTGAGAAGGGAAGATTTAGGTTCAATGCTAATWATATTTATTCAGATTTTGGGAGTTGATTGCTTTTTTTATTTTTTGCTAAATTACTCTGCAGTTTGCCTTGCCCTTACTTAGATTACTGCAGATAATATTTCAAGGTTCAATAAAACTTTGGTTTTCTTTGATTGACTTGTAAAACAACTAGTTGTCTTCGTGCTTTCACTTTTCCCCAAAAAACAGTAAAACTTAAAAATCTAMTATGAATATATTCCTGAAGGTGATGTTTTAGTTCTGTCATAGAGTCTTTGTTTCCTTGGAAGATTTCTGACAGGCAGTTGAATGCTAAAACAATCAATCAAGAATCAGTAACAGAAACAGCTAGTGGATTTAATTTAACGATACATTATCAAAAGGTATTGTTTTTTTTTCTTTTTTATTACAGGTAACTGTTCTCCCCAAGGAACTAAAAGAAGTATGAAATTTTATAGTGTTTTTTTGATTCATGTAATAAATATTCTTTCATTCTTTTCTTTGATTTTTTAATTGATTTATATATTCAGGGTGCTTATAATATTTTGTGCAATGTATATCTATTGGAACTATGAGACTGTCGATTGTTCAAATCATTAATGTAACACAAATATTTTTAATCAATAGTTGACTCAGTTGAAGGAGCTTTATCTCTACGGCAACCGTATTGCAACTCTCCCGCAAGAAGTTGGTCTGCTTACCAATCTAGAGACACTTGCACTCAGCGAAAATAATTTAACCACACTGCCAGGTTTGTAGGAATTTATGGTGTAAATTTAATTTAAAACACCTAATATTACCTATAACTCTTTCTAATATAATGGTTCAATATAATACTCCTATTGCGAGGTTACCCAACATATAGTTCTGAAAGATCTAGGCTAGGAATTCAAAGCTTTGGTGAAATAATCTGGTCTGTTCATATAGTTTAATGTGTTAGTTAAGAAGAATGTATTAGGTTGCAAGTGGGAAGGTCTATCCTCTTATATTGTTCTTGACTGCTGGGGAAATTGACTTTGACTTGTGTCGACAACATGGTTGAAGGGAGTAGCCATATGTCTGTGGATTGCTTTAGAGCTGAGCTGTACATCAGTTATGTGTAAAAGCATGACAGGAATGACGGAAGCAAACTGACATATAACTGGCTGGACTCACACGCAATGACTAGTATGAGGAGTCTTTGAATGGATGCATGGTTCTGGGGTTATCATGTTTTACAGCTGCATGTTAATGCCGTTGTATTAAGACCCTCCATATCCTCATACTGCTCTTTGAATTACTTGATTGTCACGATGAATGAAGTAATGACCAGTTGTATAATTCCTGATGTAGTTCAAGAGATTCTTTAACATGGTGTATTATACCATGATATTGGTGTTTTATTGTTTCATATATAGGAATTTTTATATCCAGCGTTTATTTTAGAAGGTCCTGTCATAATATAGCTCAGTAAAGGTTGAATAGGTATTGTTACCCTTTGGCTCTTGCCCTAATCCTCCTAGTGACGCATTTAGTTTTCCAAGTAGTTTCATTCTTGCTTGATTAATATCTATCATATAGCTACAGTATTGATGGTGATATTTTTTCCTTACAGCACTAAGCTTAAGTGTATGTCAGATTTTTAACGTATCCCATCAGTTGTTGTAGCAAGCAGCTTAAAGTCAGCTGATGGGACCTATTTTAATCCATGTGCGCTGCTTGCTGCACGTCTCAATTATATTGTCTACTCACAGAACTCAACTAACATGCTCAGTCTAATGAAGGGTGGATATAAATTAGGGATGATCACCATGGCAAGGCGACCCATATTATCCAATAAACACCACATGGTATACTGGAAAAATATAAATTTGGGACCCCCCCTCCCCCACCCTCCCAAAAAAACTATCATGGCAATGGATGATATTGTTTGGTATTGGTTAATATCTACTGCCGACAGGAATTAAATGAGCAACTTATATCATCCAATTAAGATCTACATGGTTTGACTACCACACTACTCTCGTCACCAGTATGAACAATCAATGAAGTCCCCCAACACCTTTTGAGGGTCATTTGCAGTCCTCGTACCTTACATCCTTAACATGCAACGATACAAAACTGTCGTACTGTCAGTATGTGCAAACTGCGCATTATGGATAGTATGCACAGCCTATTACCACTGTAGTTCAAGCATACGATGGCTTGTTCATTGCTTGACTGAACCACAAATGTGAATAAAGTTTATAAGATGTGTTATTCTCTCCCTTGCCATGAGAGGTTTTCTCCAGGTTCTCCAGTTTTCCTTTAWAATAATTACCATATGATGTTGGTAATGCATGTGGAGCAAACCWCACAGAMAAGCCYATCACAGGGAGTGATGGTTGTAAGAGATACAATTATTCGGAATGAAAATAATTATCTGTTTCTTTATCATATTTTCTTTTGTTTATTCCTCAGATAACCTGGTAAATTTAACAAAGTTAAAAGTTCTTGACTTGAGACACAACAAAATAAAAGAGGTATTTCATGTTAGTTTTATTCTTTATTATATATTTTTARCAGCTTTGTTGGCCTTCAAATTTCACAATAACAAGATAATTGACRAACATACCAAAGAAAAGAAAAAAAATACAGGGAGAGGGACTGAGAGGGTGGGAGTGAACGGTACCTAGAGTCCAATGCAAGGTACCTCCCCATGTGCTGATATGAAAATTAGCAAAATAATACAGCGTTTCTTAGCAAGAATATTTCTATCCTATCAGTCAAGTAATTATAACTCCTCTGACTCCCTTCTGCTTGTAATATGTAAACGTAATAAATACATAAATGGGGATCATTTTTTATTCAGTGTCGCTACAACTGCAAGTTTAGGCAGAGTAAAATCTAGAAGTCATGGTTGATTGATGATCAATTGTTGTCTCATTTTAGATTCCTAGTGTAACATACAAGCTGACGTCACTCACAACTCTTTATCTCAGATTCAATAGAATTAGCGTCGTAGAACCTGGTATTGGTAACTTACGGGTATGCTATTCTCATTATCAATATCTTATTATAGGGATGTAGCGAGGTCTCAATCATAGGGGGCAATGTACTGTTTTCCCACCAATTCCACAGGAATCCAGCATGAAGTAATTAAATTTTGGTGCCGAAAGCAAAGTTCTAGGAGGGGCATGTCCCCCCCATGACCCCCCTCCCTACGCTAGTGTCTTATTATCATTTATTACAATCTATTAAGTAACTGAGTGCTAAACATGGTTTTCTTCTATCATATCACTGACATCTACATATTTCTTTATAAAAACAGTTACTAGAAAGACTGAGCCTAAGAGAAAATAAAATCAAAGTTCTCCCGTCAGTCATAGGTAAGAACACTGTACTCTATAGACCTTTTTACCTTGGATGTAATGCTTTCTCATTTCAAACCACATGCCATTTCCTTTTTAATATGATTTGGTGTTTTAATTTTATATTTTCATATGAGTTTAATATGCATGTATTTTTACAGGTCAACTTGTTCATCTTGTAACTCTGGATGTCTCTCATAACCACATAGAGCACTTGCCTGCAGGTGAGTYGATAACAATCTGTCTGTTGATGCATCCTGCCATCCTATGTATCCATCTATGCAGCCATTTTACCCATCCTATTCATTTAGTGGAATCAAAGGTGGCATAGTGGTGAGCCTGTGCATTCACTACTCACCTATCCTATATATTTAAATCTATCCATCCCATCCATCCATCTATTTCTCCATGCTATCTACCCTCTCCATATATCTTATCCACCCTTTAATTCTTCCCATCCATCCATCCTGTTCATACATTCTTCTCTCCATTCTTTGGGCCAACCTATGAATCATTTTTCCATCCATACTTCCAGTTGTTTATCCTATACTTCATTTCATTATTTGTGAACTCATACTATTTTCTTTCCACTTCCAGAGATTGGTAACTGTATTCACATGACGTCACTGGACCTACAGCATAATGACATTGCYGAGCTCCCAGATACCATAGGCAACCTCAAGTCCATGTCAAGACTAGGGCTAAGGTATCTATTAATTGTAAACATAAAAGAACTATTGCTTGATATGACATTACTTAATAACTAAGAAAAAGGGTTGACAAATAGAATACTGTCAGATTGTGTTTTCCTCCCTCCGCAAAATCTACACTAAAAATCCACTTAATTCTTATCAAAATACAAAACAACCTCTGGGCTGATCAAAGTCAGGGAACGGCTAGCTCACAGATAGAACCCTCAAACAGCCTCTGGGCTGATCTAAGCCAGGGCACGGCTAACTCACAGATCAAACCCTGAAACAACCTTCCTACTGTATTTCCCGCTCCCCTTTTTTCTTCATTTCATTTTAAAACCATAAGTTTCATTTCTTTTCCAGGTACAACCAGCTGAAGTGCTTACCAGAGTCTCTGGTCAACTGTTCTGGAATTGATGAATTCAACATTGAGGGAAACAATATCTCTACTCTTCCTGTAAGTAAAACGTGGAAGAAGAGAGGGAGGGGCAACAGAATTGCGTTCACCACCTTCCATACATTGGTTCACTGGTCACTCACAAAGCATGCAATTCAGGCTGCAAGGTAGTGTCCAAGGATTATTCAAATTTAGACCTTGCAGGATGGATATATGTGTATGGAAAGTTAGGTTACATTTATGAGTTTTCCAGTTTTTGATCCAGTATTTTTTTTTCTCAAATCAGCACAATGTATGCAGGAATGCTATATCTTTGACTACACACTACAGTAAAGTTCAAACTATTGCTAACTCTAAGCCCAGAGGAAAAATTCTAAATAAGTTTTCAGTTTCAGATTTAGAAGACATTTTTAAAGTAATGGTAGCAATATTACTATAATCATGTTTCTGTTGTTTTGTCTGTAGGAGAAGCTTCTTCCTGCACTCAAGAACCTTACGTCACTGGGGCTATCCAGAAACCACTTTGAAATATTCCCTGGAGGACCACCCAAGCAGTTCTCACAAGTGACAGTAAGACAGATAATGTTTTTAATGTTTGATTAAAAAATTTGGAATGTTCTATACAYCAAATTGAACAAATTTTGGCAGGTTAAGTAGGTTAAATCATCAAAGCTAAGACCGAGGGGTATTCTGGGTAGTCGATATCCTGGGTATTTGGAGCGTAATTGCATACAGACACATGCATGAAGGGTGACAAAATGCTTGGTTCAGTAACTTGAATCCAYGTTTGAGAKCTGCAAAACTGCAATATGCATAATTATTAGCCACATTAAATGTTTACYSAGAACACCCTTCAGTCTTTGCTTGAAAGAWTGAACCTTTTCCTCCTGAATTGTTTAATATTCAATTTGGTGTAATCATAAATTAAACGCACATTTAATATGAATTTTCCTATTRTTAACAGAGTTTTATCATGGAGCATAACCGTGTACAGAAGATTCCCTTTGGGGTRTTCAGTAAAGCAAAATATTTGGTAAGTTGCTATAGCAGCAGTATGATGTACTCTCTTGTACGTGAGAAAAAATAGATACCTTTATTTGAATAGGGTAGGTTATTCAGTATCACATTTAAGGAATATAAAAACTGTTATCCATACATAACATATTTCCCATGTACCATTGTGGTCTTAGCATCTTTTTTTATGTTTCGAACCCAACATTTTTTTTTTGCAATCAAGTATACATGTCTTAAGGTTATAAATACATGCATTAAGTATGATGTTTATATCATATACTTATGTTAAGATTTTATTGTTTTAGGGAAAGTTAAATATGAAAGATAACCAGCTGAGTTCTCTGCCTCTTGGTATGTAATGCACAGAAAAAATATTGTTGTATAATCATGTGTTTGGTTATGTTTGTGGATGCTGRTATTAGCAACAACAGCAGCACCAGCAGCATTAACACTACTAGTACTTAAAAAACAGCAACACAAGCAATCACCAAGATTTGACCRCAACTTCCATTTCTGGCTTGACATTATATGATGACTAGCCARTCAGAAGGGTGCGACAGGACACCTCTACTAAATCTACTCTAATAAGTGACTTTTCAATAGAAGGGACCAAAGTCTTTGAATCTCATTACCTGTTCTGGCCAAAATGGTTTTCARGCACTGACATAACTTTGCTGTTTTAATTTCTATAGATTTTGGAAGCTGGACCAGTCTTGTAGAGCTAAATTTTGCAACCAATCAACTCTCCAAGCTACCAGGTAAGATATACCCATATTGATTAATTCTTTCAGTGTTTATGATATCTACCAACGCCTAGTACTGCTGTTACAAACAGGACTGATGATGATCTCCTCGGAAACGTTTTTGCCACGAGTCTTTCTAGTTGAAGGGGATCATCAGTGGCAGCTTTTASGGAGGGCTGAAGTGAGGGATACATTGCCTTTGCTGTACCCTAAGCTGCTGTGTTTATAATGCTATTTTGCCAATACTACCTCTCCCTAGATCCCCCATTCTTGATAATGGTATRTACAGGGTTAATAGCTTGCAAGTACAATTCCCCTATTTTATGATTTTTTTGTGTTTTCAACAGAGGATATCCAGTGGCTTGTCAACCTAGAAGTCTTAATCTTGAGTAATAATTTGTTAAAGGTAAGCCACCCTTCATCTTTAGTGCAAGTGGGAGTGGGTGATAAAATCCTTGGGATGGGGAGGGGGTTGGTTTGAGAGTTGGGTAAATCTAAACTAAGGGGGAGGGGTGGGTGATTAACAGTTTGCTTGTTTGGTAGGATACATAATAATCACTAGTGTCTTGTTTTTCTTGTAGAAACTTCCAAGAGGAATTGGAATGTTAAGGAAACTAAGAGTCTTTGATGCAGAAGAAAACAGATTAGAGTCTCTACCAAATGAAATAGGTACGTTTGGAATTTTTTATTCTCTAAGTTTTCATGTACTAGGTAGATTTTTACCTATACTACAGCTAGCTAATTTGCCATTATATGGTTGAGTTAACGTTGAAAAAAGGAAGAGAGGGGTTTATTCATTAGTCTTTTGCATGTTTCTTACAGAATATCTCAGAAGCCTGGAAAGACTGGTTCTGCAGTCCAATAACCTCACATCTCTACCAAGATCAATAGGGTGAGGAAAACGCTTTCAGACCAGTTTCTCATTCCATTGTTTTATTCATTTGGGGGTTACAATAATAGTATATTTATTCTTTCACAGATATTTAACCAATGTTTCTTATATGAGTGCTGGTGAGAACGAACTAACGACAGTACCTCAAGAAATAGGTGAGAAAATAAAAAAATGTTAACTGGAACCAAGGTTGGCGTTATGGTAGTACACTTGCCTGACTCACCTTTGGGGTCTAGGGTTCAAATCCTGGACTCGGCATCATTTTCTATACTTTCACTGGTTTTCATCTAGAGTTTTCAGGATTTGTTCCTGCAGTTTAAATTTAATCACTTGTTATGTTTTATTTGATATTTATTTCTGTTGATTTTAAGGTAACATGGAGTCTCTTGAACAGCTTTATCTGAATGATAATGAAAACCTACAGTCTCTTCCCTATGAACTAGTCCTGTGTGGATCTCTACAGATCATGAGCATTGAGAATTGTCCACTAAGTACGTTACCAACACAGATAGTTGCTGGTGGTCCTTCGCTAGTAATACAGGTACAGGAAATAACAATATGCTTGCTATGAGCTTGCAATGATAGAGACCTTTTTTAATACCTTGGACAATTATTCAGGTCTCTATCATTGCAAGCTCACCRTTCATATTGCTTTAATTGAAAGGCAATTCTGTACTGATTTACAAATGTTTGACATTTCTTTGGTATTTTTGTCATTTCAGTACTTGAGATTACAAGGTCCATACAGTGGTATGGTTGACTCTGAAGTCCCTTCATCAGATGTCTGAACAACTCACCTGCTGTCAAGCCTTCAATACCTCAAATATTTTGCTCATTTTTCTTTTCAGTTGAATATAAAATACACATGATTTTTATAGAAAAAAGAATCTTTATGTCTTAAAAATAGTTTGTGAGATGTTGGTACAATGAACAGAAGTGTTTTTGTATGATAGTGAAGCACAACAGCTGACAGTACAGAGAAGGATTGTTCAGGTCTATTGATTGTGCTTTCCACTTAATTACTTGCCTACTATTTCCACTMAATGTGCAAGTTTTAAATGAATTTTATGCTCAGTTACATACACTGCTTCATATCAAAAACTGAACGCTCATTGATTCCTGACATTCTGTTAGCTTCACCTAAAAACTTCACAAAGATGAAGTCATGATGGTAAGCATGTCTAACATGTTTGTCTATCATACGACACCACCTCTGTCATAGGTACACAAAGGTAGTTGTGCACTTTATGACCAGGTGTTGGTCAACAATCACCTGACTGTCAGCCATGCATTGATCATGCGTTGGACAAGTGTACACAAGTACACAGTCATTCATTCCAACCATATGCATGAAGGTCGAAGAGCCTGTCAAGCTTTACTCTTAGTTTATTTGTCATTTGTAATAGGAGTGTGTAACACACTTCAATAATTAATATTATTCTATTTCCTAGTGCTATATATTTCAATTTCAAACAAGCAACTCACAATGAGCGCTGGCAAAGTTTAGCGTGCATTTATATTATGTAATATTAAAAAACATTACAAATATATATGTATATAGTGTAGACTGCTTAAATTGAAACATTGAAATGCAATTTAAAGTATGAGATTAGAAATGTTATAAAATTTGATCATTGTAATAATTGATAATCCTGTTAGAATTAATTTAATATTTTTGAATCTTTGAGCATAGCTGCAGTAATAGACTCCATTTATTTTGGTATGTTTTCTTTTTTTCACACTACCTCTCTTGAGTATTATTTCTTTCTTTACTAGTAAGGCTAAAGCAGATGTGGATGATGTTCAAACCAAAGGTGATGAATAGAAATGGGAAAACTATTAACACCCAAGTGAATTGGGTTTGTTATTTTTAAAAAGCTGTATGGTTTAAACTAACAGAAACATTTCTTAACACTTCTGGGACAATTTACTTGTCCTTCACGTTTCCAGAATTTCATGTTCTTATAATAAGAAAATAATAGTTGTATTTTTGTCCTTCTTGTGGTTGGTAGTCACTGTTTGTTCAATTTACAGCAGTGTATTGATGTGACTCAATATAGATTCTTTCATCTGTAGTGCTGGAAAAGATGTGGCCTGCCATCAACATTTAAAAGAGTTACATAATCAAACAACTATAAAAATAGAAAAAGCTTTTGAGAGAATTACACAACACTATAGAACTTCCATCTAGATTCAGATGTGTGCTTTTAAAAACACATTACTGAAAGTCTGTTATTGTCTTAGACTCTACTTAATATCAAGAAGATCTCCTAACCTTTAGATAAATATAATCATAATTTCTGAGTAACTTCCATCTAGATGTAAATAATGTATTGAGAAAATATATGAACACCCGTACTCGGGAAATCTAGGGTAGCAGTGAAACACAAAATATTAATGTTTGATTGTGTATATAGATACAAAACTACTTCAAGCATGTAAGATCTCTACAGACAGCTGAAGTAATTTGTTTTACATATTTATATTTTCAATCAGCACACTTCAACTTTTAGGTGGATTAATTGTTGAGATATCTTAAAGTTTGTAAATAGACTGTAAACGATGTGTAGTAAATCATAGGTTGATATTTAGATGTTAAATATCATGAAATTTGATTACCTAAGCCCGACAAGTAAATATTTTTTATTTTCTGAAAGTCTTTTGATCCTAGCAAACTTTTCTAATCATTCTTTATTTTGAATAATAATCATGTAAACAAATCAATAAAAACCAATTACTGGATTATCTGTTTGATTATATATGGTTTCCTTGTTTTCCACACGGCTGTACCTCTAGGCGTGGTTAAGGGGGTTGAGAATCTTAACCCATTTTTAAAACTAATGATAAAAAGGTAAATCATACACCGTGAAAAGATGAAAAAACTTATTGATGTTTCAGACGCTAGTCCTTTTTTCAGAATARAAAAATAATAAAAGAAAAAGCTAATGATAAATGCAGTGTCAGTGAAATGACTCCAACATATTTTTCCCTAGAATGTTGATTACTTGGTTTGACTTTTGTTCCTTGGTTGACAAGGAAAGCCATTTGAATGTCAATATAAATTAACTGTCTGTCAATCAAAATCTTTGTCACAAAATTTGATTGGTTTGTACATATAAAAGTCGATTTTTTGCTGAAGTTCTGTCTGCCAGGTGTCTGTTAGCCTGCAAAGGCGTTCTTGTGGGTTTAGGAAAAAACGGTTTTTGGGGGAACTTTGGAAATTTGGAATCCAAAAAGCCGATTCTTCCTCACACCTGATCATATAGGGACGCCTGCTCTACAGGCTAGGTGTCTGTCTGTCTGTCTTTCTACTTACTTTATGACGTCATTTCCTGTTGTTTGAGAGTGGCCTGGGTCTTCAAAACAAGATGGCGACCAGTTCAGTAGCAGAGTTGGACCCTGTGTTCCTTAAAGCGATAAAACTGCTTCATTCAAGGCATCCAGACTCACTTGAACAGCTTAGAATGCTAAGAGATGATGCTTTCAAACAACATATTCAACCTGTGTCTTCTACAACACAGGTATTGTTTTTTTTAAAGTTCAAAACGCTGGTCGAATAAGCGTCAACAGATAACATTTAGAAAGAGAGCGAGAGTAGAAGTATTCGTTCATAAATTACGAATTTCTCAAGGTTAAAGATAGTAGATATTCTTTATAATTCGATGATAAGAATAAGAAGACAGTAATATTAACTACTATTTTAATATGGTAATGTTTTTTACAAGCATAAGTCACGGCAAATCTCAGGCCTACCCCTACCCCCTCGGGAATAATCTAGCATTTACTTTAGAATCCAGTGCATATGTCTCGATCGGTTGGGAAAGTAACGGATCCAGGAAGGGGCAAAGGGGGGCTGTAAATCCCCCCCCCCCCCCCCCAGCCATATGATTTGATCAAAGTAATGGATTTACAGTAAAATGAGTCATTAGTTACATGTACAAATCAAGCAATTTTTGGCCAAGATCCCCCCTTATATTTTTGRCTGGATCCCCCCTGCCTCCACACTGCCTTAAGGATAGGGGAAACCAACTTGGGGTGTCAAGTAATTAAGATTCTCAAACTAAAAAACTATTTCAAATGTGTAGTATACACTCAATTTCCAAATAATTGTCTKGTTTAAAAAGCTTTCAAATGCAGGTCATCTGAGTGAATATATGGACTGCATAGTGCAAACGAATGAATCTTAATTTTGTCATTTCCCATAATACCTTTCAGTATCAGATTCTATGTTCTATGTTTTAACCCGACAATGATTTTTTATTAAGTGTATTACATTTCTTGTGCCTTTAGTGTGCGGTACAGGTCATCATGTCAGTTTCCGTACATTTTTCATTCCATGAAACTGTTGCTATAATTTCAATTAGCTAYATCATAATTTCTTGACATCTCCTACTTTAGGACAAGGGCAAAGACAGCAAAACAACCAAAGTACTAGAGAGAARACCGAGTGCCATAATCTCACCTCATGAAACAAAGACCTCAAGCAAAACTAAAGAAACTAAAAACATTGTCCCAACTATTAAAACAAAAGAGGTTGATCCATCTAAGATTGAAACTGTGGAAGACTTGAGTGTTGAAGATGCTATAAAGACAGTTGAGGATCTAGGATCATGCGTAGTTGAGACAATTGAAGAATTTAGTTCTAGTTCAGGATTGATTGAGCAACCTTCAAAGAAGCCAAGACTGAAACTCAATGTGGAGAATGTGTTTGATGAGGAGGTTCTGAAATCAAGTGAAACTTTACCAGCTGAAGAATTGACTATTGATTTAGGAATCAAATGCACTGTTTGTAACAGGTAAAAATGATCAAATTGTAGGTGTTGTAGTAAAGCATTTGCCTTTGTAACTTACAGGTGTTCTATATTTTCCCCTCCAGAGCTGAGAGTAAACAGGTTGGAAATAAACTAGTCGAGTGTCATGAATGTCACTCGCATTTTCACCAGGTAAGACAGCTTAAAAAATCAGGGTTTTTTGCTTCTATCAATCATACTACTGGAAATTGATGGAGGACAAAAACAAAGACAACTCAAATGTAGCTGACAAATCGTAGCTGGTTGTCTGGGCCRTACAACCACAGCTACAATAATAACAAAAACAAATGATGAAGTACATGTTGATGGATTGCAGGGTTTGATTGGTATATTTTAGATATTTTCATTCTATCAGTTCCACGTTTTTTTCTTTTTCTCTTTTTGTGGGAATATATTCAATATAACGTTGGCCCCTAACTGCAAAATTGCCCTGAAATGATGATACAATCACTAGTCAGTTTATGATCAGTAATCTGTTTTTCTACAGAAATGTCATGAGCCAAGGATCTCAGATCAAGATGCAAATGACCTTCGCTTAGTGTGGTACTGCCATCAGTGTACCAGGAAAATGAGAGAAATGTCAACAAGTTCTGTACCAAAGGCAAAAAACACAGAGAGCTCTTCTAATAACAGAACATCTTTTACTGGTGCAGCTCTTAAGCCTCCTAAACTACAGTCCTTCCAGAGGCTATCTTCTTCTGACTCCAAGGTCTGTTACAGCTGTATTATTTAAATATGTCTTATTCCACAGATTAGGGRAAAAAACATTGTAGCTTTTAATAATGTTTCCTTAAAATTATTTGCAAAGTGGCTGCATGTGCAGATGTCAGCAACCATGCTGTTCTAAGAAAGCACAGTTCTCAACCAATCAAGGCACATGTACTATCTAAGCCATATATTAAAATAACAAAGTTAATCACAGAGGTTTACCAGCAATCAAACTTTTTGGAGCATGTTAGGCAGGGTTTTGTGGTTCAAGGTTCTTGTCTCTGCCTGCTAACCAAGAGATCTGTTACTTGATCTCTTATTGACACTTAACTTCAGCTTTAAAAACTGTTAAGAGAAAGCACCCATGGTTAGAGGTCAGTGACATGAAGTGCAAATTGACATGAGGGGAGGGTAAGGGAGTAGTACGCTACTGATGACACCACAGGTGTTCCATTTGTGTTGAYGTTCCTTAGATATCCCATCCTTTTCAAAGCTTATAATTGCCAATGCACTTCAACTTTTATCTTATTTCAGCCATTCTCACCAACCACCGCACCCCAGTCATTTGCAATCCCAGGCCTGACTGCTGCCAGTGGTCCAGCAGTGTCCAGCAAGCAACCATTGCCAGGAACAAGCAGCAGTAGCAGCACACAAAAATCCTCCATGCAGTCGGCAATGAAGAGATTGCAGATGGTGAAGAAGAAAGCAGCACAGAAAAACTTCAACCAACAACAGATGAGGGTGATACGAAGATAATAATTATAGATTTATTGTAATGTAATATTTTCMCCCACTAGAATAAATAAATAAAAAAAATTAGCTAACGTACAGATTTTGATTAAAACCATTCATGCACACAATATGGAAAACTAAAGCAAAATTTAGGCAATTTTTTAAACTTTACAAAATATGGTTTACGCTTTTGCAGTGAGTTTAAAAAAATCGTCGTTGAACAAACAAAAAGACTGCTTGTTGTCGCGTACGTGGTAAGGTAAAAGACGAACTCGAAAAAAAACTCGAGATAAATTAGAGCGTGCGACCTGTTTTCCCAACAATTTGCAAAACCTTTCAAATAAGTTGTCACACAAGTTACACAAGTCATTAATATTACGAGCTATACACTTAATTTGTTTATAGAGAATCAATCTTTTGTAAGGCAATTACTATCAAATAATCGTTTCCATAGCGACTAATGCGTCTTGTCAATTCCATTAGTTTTTCCGCGCGCTGTTTAGTTTGTACACCTTATGATATCGATAAAATTCACTTAGCAGTTTGACATTTTTGCGAAGATGGAAAAAGTAATGATATCATCACATCCTCTRTACGGCTACCAGTTTGACATACAACAGAGAGCCAAGCTAGTACCTATCATACCAGAGTTGGGCGCCGGGAGAAAAAGCGTGTTCAGTGAAGTCAGAACTCCAGCGTACAAGTAAGTATTCAAATACTTCATTTGAACCTGAAAAATAAAAAACTTTTAGAACTAAATTTAAAGAGATATAACTAGCTAAAAACTAGTGTGAGCTGCGTAGTGTGAACTAAATTTAACTTTATATGGTTTTTATTGGTAAGGGTTTTGTTTTTAGTGTAAACAAGTGATAACGTTTGCGTTGGATTATGTTTTGAAGTCTTATAGTTATTGTTTAGTTAGTGTTTGAAACTTGTTAGAGTGAAAATGTACATTTTAGTCTTTTTTGTTGTTAAAAAACGCTTTTCTTCGATGCCCTGCAGTATTGGCCAAAACTTATTTGGCGATTCTTGTTTATATGATTTGTAAACGAAGCGTTCTGTGTTCATTGTTTATGACCAGCGTCTGTGTTTACTTTTTTGAAACGTTTTAGTTATTGCTCGAATAAAGGTCTTGTGCTATTCATGTTTATACATCTCAAAAATACACAGCCAATTATGAAGCCATATATGATGGATACATTAACGTGCCACTTAGTAAAGAGAATAGAATATAAATTAATATCCCTTTTAATATTAAAGTGCATTTGACAAGACGTCAATTAACCGAGGGGTAGGGGAGGGTACGTCGTATTACAATACAAGAGACCACGAAGGCCCTTCATGCACAAGGGTATCGTATACTTCGCGAAAAGTTTTTCAAATACCCGGTGTAGCCTTAACACATGCAAGGATAAAACGTCAAGTTCCATTACTAATTATGATTTTTTTCTTTTTTTTTTTTTTGCAGAAAACAGCACAACGTTTTTAAAGACTTCACCATAGGACGGTCCTCGCCAATCTGGGGAATAAAAAAAGGAAAAATGAAACCAAACAATCGACTAGTTCAGCTGTCCAAACCCAAACAGCTCCACCCTGACTATCAGCCATGTAAGAATACTGAGACTTTAGTGGCACCTAGTGCTAAGACTGCTGCCTGTTCTAGTCGACTGGACACGCTCTCTGAACCAAAGAAACGGACCGAGCCTCCTCCTCGAGAATGGAAAATAGAGAAATCTTCTTTAACTGCTCAGCCTTCTGAACGAATAGTGCGCTTGTCTAATCCCAGGGGCTACGCTCAGGGGTTTCTGCCTGATAACTTTGAATCTTGGCGAGTAAGTAAAGCTGCTATTGAGGCAAAGCCCTCAGGAAGAGTAGAAGAGCTTTCTAAACCTATGGTTCGAGAGATTGCCAGCAACTTRCCCAGGGCTGATGCATTCGTTGTTAGTATGGCTGCTCAAAAGGCGACGTGCTCTGAAAGAATAGCTGAACTCTCGCAACCTGTTAAAAGATAGATTATGTCACATCTACTATGAACCTTCCAAATGTTATTGTTTTCTTTCTTTCTTTCTTTCTTTCCTTCTTTTTTGTTTTTCGTTTTTCTTTTTTCTTCTTCTTCATCATTTTCTTATTATTATTTTATATACATATATAATACTTTTTTGAGACCAAAATTTTTTTTGCGGGTGTTGGTTTGCTTGTTTCATTCATAGGGTTTAAAAATAATAAACTTTTTATTCTTGTTGCTATGGAGTTCATATTTGGGTTCGGCGCCCCCTTAATAGCTGCGAAATTCMCAAAAGTCGGCGATTTTGTACATTTCATAAAAATGTTGACCCAAAGTCAAACACCAAATATTCAAAACCAACTTATTCTTGAAAACCCAAACACCACCGAATCATATTATTCCCTTTGCAACTTTAAAGAAAGACAAGAATCTTTGGCTGTTGAAAAACTACGAGGTTTTGATGAAATTTCCAAATCCAAAGCCCTTTACCAAAAGTTTTTCGGGTTTTCTTCATGGACRAGACAAAAACCTGTGGGCTTAGAAAGCCAGCATGAAGATCTACAAGAAGGAGAAGATGGTATTTCTCTTCTTTATAAGAAGTTAAGCTTAGAAGACGATAGTGTTGGTCAAAAAAGAAGAGGTAATAGCTACCTGTCAGGATGGGAAGTCTGTGGTGATGAACCCCATCACAAAGTTGAATATTTGAAARGAAAATTGATGTGGAAAGATAGTTCTTTTACAAGAAAAACAGAAAGCAAAAACGAATCTTTCGTCAACTCAGGTGCATATAATCCAAGCAAGAAGGAAGCTTTTGTTCAATACAAGTCTCGGAAATGCGAATTTGTGGAGCCGAAAGCAACAAAAAAAGATGATGTCCAGCCAAGCCCAAGGGAAGAAATCCCTCGCCAACACTATACACACCGTGCTACCTCTCCACACAAAACCATCAAGTTTCATCAATTCTCTAATACCAATGACTACATYAAATATTATAGAGACAATGTCACTCATACTAGCATCAGGCAACACTTTTTCAATTATGTGGAAGGAAAAACCAGTAAAATAAGGCCTCAAACATTTCCTTTTGGGAGGAAAATAAAATCACAGGCCAAAAGGGAATCGCCTGCAAAGATCTACAGGTTGCATATTTCGGATAAAGCAAGTTTTGGTATATTAAAAGTAGGKCCATGCCCCAGCTTTAATCTGAAGACATCTCCGAAGAAATCCGCCGGAGAAAACGAAGCAAGCAACTCAATAACAGATGCCGAAAAAAGGAAAGGACTGACCAAAGATATTGATTATCTGATGGCCAATGCAAGCCGACTGTTGAGCGATCAGTCATTTTATTCTTCATATAACAGGAAAGGAACCAAAACAAGAGAGAGTTATCCCATTCCTACTGCTAATACTACAGACTTCGATGAAGTCCAACAGATTGGATGCGAAGATGCGATAGCTACCGCTAACGATGATGATGTGAAAGTGAAGAAAGTAGGGCTACGAGTGAACAAGACCTTAGCACCAAGGTTACGTGCTAAAAGAAAGGCTACTAAATTGAATAAACCTAAGCAGGTAGGATATACATAAAAATAGTTTAATATACTAACATTAGTTCCGGCAAAAGGTGATAATTATTTAATGGATTTATATTTATTCTGTCCWATACTTCCTCCCATAATCATATTCCCATTAATCATTTCTATTTCAAACATAACTTTGAAATGGCTTTTCTCTTATGCCAATCAAACTGCGCAATCACGTAAATCAACTAATCATGAGTAGGGAAAATCTGCGCAATCACGTAAGTCAACCAATCACGAGTACGGCTTGACTCGGAAGCCATTCTGAGATGTGGCAGAGTTGGAGTCTGGAGATGTGGTAACTTATCACCTGCATACCTTTTATTACCAAAAGATTTTCGAAGAYGTGACATGAATCCCCAAAAAATCCATGGTTGATCTTTGGCAACGTAAAACTTGTCGGKTTTTTTAGGCGTTAGTCAAGCCCAGTATTGTATGTTTAATATCTGGTATCTTCAATGATGTTATCCTTATCTCTCTAGAATCACCAGACAGCAGGGGCAAACAAGGCGAAACAAGCAAAGAGTAGTCAACGTGCCTGCAATTTCTCTACATCTTCTGTAAGTACTACAAAACTCTGTAATTAAAAGTCACAATTCTAGAATATCATTTACATTTCTTCTAATTCCTCAAAGGGCAACACATTGGGTGACAAAGAGTTTCTCCGCATCACCAAGCCAAAGGTAATAGGTATTAACCCAGCAAGTCAGAAAGGAAGTCATGCTATATTCAACAGCCCACCCAGTCATGACTCATTAGAGGCATCAGTAGCACTGTATCCATGGGTTGATGATGAGGGAAGAATACCTAGAGGAAGACTCATTGAAACTAACCACATCATCAATCGAAACCTTCTGAAAAGTCGACTTCCTGAAAAAGGTTTTCAAGTGTGTATTACTCCAAGTAGTTATCCCAAGAGTACGGTTGGGCTGACGATGAAGATGAAAGCTGAAGAACAAGTAGATGATATTTCTACACAACTGTAAGAAAAGGTTACTTAACAGTGGGTGCTTACAGACAGCCAGTAAAACAACAGGGTACACGTATTAATATTGCATCTTCAAATTCAATAGTCCCCTTGAAAGTTCCCTGCACCATCTTGAAAAGTAACCTTTCCTTTGTATCCAAGCAAGGATGACAGTTACCTTGCAATGATAGATTGGAGATACTCTTTTAAAGCTTTGCACAGTTATTCATGTCTACCATTGTAAGATAAGATGGCACAGGGAACTGTGAAGGGGACGCTAAAATCAGCAACAGCTTTTGATCTGCAAATACATTTTCCGGAAAAGTTTTAATTGAATCTGAGAAATTGTTATTGTACAATTTGAAATTTTTATAATGATGTTGGATAAGTATAATTGTATTTTACAGCTTGTTTAGATTCCAGTTGTATTCTCTAGCTTTGATGACAACTTTTTCACCAATTTCCATTTGTTTCAATAATTCTTTTATTTCTAATTCCTTGTCTGGAGGTAGGTACTGAGATATCCRTCTGCAAATGTGGAAATAAAATATTTGATTAAGACAACAGGAGTTCGTTATCTCATACTCTTATTATASTAATGAATATAAATACCTCAAAAGTGCAGCATCAGTAGATCCAAAGTCTTGTTTGTACCATATAAAGATCTTGGACAAGGTGACCTGATAAAAAGAGTGTACATTAGTCATAATTTCAACATAATATAGTAGTTTATCATTAATATCCTTTTGAAGAAGGGGACTAAAACAGTGTTACAGTATCTGTGTCATGATTTCAAATTTTGGAGCAGCAAGTCCATGATCCCCACCCATTTTTGGGTCCCTAAAAATACAACAGTAAATTTTCATCAACAGACACCCACCTCTGTGCCATCAATTTCAACCTCTTGTCCACAAAWGCTTCTAGCAGCAGCAGCAAGACCTTGTTCCAGATTATCCTCACTGTATATATTTATTGCAGGACATGACTGAATAAATTTAGAAATGTATCAATGTGATCATCTCTGAATGGTAATTTTTGATAGACTGCACATATTACCTTTGCTCCACATACTAAAGCAAAATGTATTCTTGGATCAATTTCTGATAATGCAAGCTCACATCGGGGGTCGCCCTCTAAGAAGAGTGGTGTTGGASTAGATGGGTGTGGTCGATTCCCTGAAATAATACATAATAGGAATGAAACATGGAAAATGGCAAATTGGCCAAGTTTTAAATGCAGCAACAGAGAGGGGGATCAGATCGTCAGAATCCCACTGATTCCTCCCACCCCCCATTCACATCCCTCTTTCTTACCCCTTAGTATTCCATGTTCTATATCATCCAAGCTTAGTATGTAACCACCAACAGAATATGCTGTATGTCTCCAGAAGTTACTGATCTCCAGGACAGAGCTTGGTAATGTATTGCACATAGCCAGGCCATGAATAGTTAAAGCATTGTAAATGTCTGATAATACTGGAGTTAAGGCATAATTGAAGTGCAATTCCACAAAGCTGAAATACAGCAAGGTTAAACCCTGTGTTTCTAAGGTTGAGCTTGATAGTTGTGAGGACTTCAAGCAGGCCTGACAMTGGGATTTGAAAGGGGAGGTTGGTTTTTCTACCAATCTTAGTTATGCCATTTCTTGAAAAAACTAAAATAGCTCTAAACATTATTTTGTACTCCTACAAAGGTGGAGAGGGGGGTCATTCAAACCATCAAACCACCCCTATCAAGTCTGTTCTCACCCTGTGTTAAGCCATTGAATATAAAAAGGTGCCTGACCTCATTTGTCCCATTAACAATGTATCCTTTACCTGTATMTCAGTCAGTGCTCTATTTGAAAGCTAGTTCAAGCTAAGGCTATTTAGAATAGATAGTAGAAAGAAGTCAAAACAAGTGTATGTGATCCTTGGTAATAAATCCACATACCCTAGTTMCTCTGATTAGCAAATGCAGTAAAGACTAGGGAGGGACAGGGGAGGTAAAGGCATCCTCACTTGCTACTCCACCACCCATCCCCCTTCTTGCATAACCTTCCTTATGTGATCAATAATCAAAAGATGCTGTAAAAACTACACTCTATCATATACATTATAGTTAATCATTGGTTGGATACTTAAGAAAAATGYGGTCTTTTGTTTTGGACTCAGATCGGATAGTGGTGTTTGCTGTAGATCACGTGCACTCATCTGATATTCTTCAAACAACTTGCTGTTTTTCAGCGCAGCATAATCCACTCCATGACCATCTGCGCTCATAAAGCTACCTTTCATCTTTAACATTATCTTCTGTAATTCTTTAGATAATGTAACTGCAGATCGAGCTGGCCTATTCTTGGGAATATCACCCCCATTCAAAACCTGTACTTTGTTTATAGTAGCCATATTAATGTCACTGCTGGGCTTCCTGTATTTCCTATGGACGCGTTAGGATTGGTACCTAGCGGAATTAGTCAGCATCCAAAAAATTTCAAGATGGCGACCACGTTGGAAGACAAAGCGATTTGGGAAGATGGCGAGGTAAAAACGGCTGATTATTACGAGTATTTAATCATTTAACCTGTAAATAGCTTCTTCAAGTAGCCACGCGTCTCATGGGATTGTTTTTTTAGGAATTGGGAGAAGAAGTGCTTCGTATGTCAACAGATGAAATCGTTAGTCGAACAAGACTACTTGACAATGAAATAAAGGTAAAATATGTAGCTAAAATCACGAAAAAACTAAAAGAAAACCATATTTGAATATTCAGTAACAAGGACCTCCGATGAAAGGAGGCGAGATTTCATACAATTTATTGATGTGTTTGGCAAAAAGTTTTTCAATTCTTTATTTTCAAGTTTTACCAAAAATTACAAAATAATTTTAACTTTGTTACTTTAGTTTTTACAGAAATAACTTACTTGTATGCTTTTATGTCATAGTTTTAATGTATCTTTTTGTAGATTATGAAAAGTGAAATTATGAGAATTAGCCATGAACAACAAGCCATGAAAGAAAAAATAAAGGTGAGACAGTTATTGTTAGATGTCAAAATTATCCTTTTACAGTTATGATCCTTTTCACCCTTATATCAAAAAGTCACTTTGTGATTATTAGAGTAGATTTATTAGATGTGCCATGTCGCACCCTTCTGATTGGCTAACTGGTCATCATAATGTCCAGCCAGATTTGAAACTTCAATCAATCAATCAATCAATATTTATTACAAACCATCAGAATRTTGTGAAATATTTACAATCAAGTTCCCATATTACATTCTAATTATACAATTTTTAGAAATATATGCATAGTACTATATTACTTGTCCAGTCAAATCTTGTCAATCATTTTGACCAGTAACGTTGAACAAGTTATCATGACCGTCGATGGACTACCTGTTATTTTTACCCCTGCTGAATGAAAATGCATGGTGTAGTCTATTATTTTAAGACCTGGCCGGGAAAGCCTTGTCGTAGGATGAGAGGGAAAGGGTGGGGAGGTTAGGATGTCACATGACTTAAACCTTATCCTGAATGTCATAATAAATGATGTTTACATAGGTAATCACATACTTTATGACCAGCTGACATGGTGAGTTGACAATCGCATGACTGTGGAGCACAATCAACACTTGGCCAACATATCACCAACACCGGTCTAAGATCATTTCTCCTACTCATCATTTGGCCTTTTTGCCTACTGAAGTGTCRGCTGGTCTTAAAGTACATGATTACCATGTTTAACTCAAATAGTTTACTTGATATCTAAGATATTATAACTTTGTTATTTCACAGGAAAATTCAGAAAAGATAAAAGTAAACAAAACTCTGCCATACCTTGTGTCTAATGTGATAGAAGTAAGTGATATATAATATGGTGTTTACTTCATCACATGCAAAAGCATTTCTAACAAAACTTACAATGTTTTTCTATTTTTAAGCTGCTAGATGTGGATCCACAAGACTATGTAAGTAGAAGATTCAGGGTAGATTTAATTAGTTTAGGGATTAAGATGAAAAGAAATCATTCTGAAATACATGTGCAGTGTGTCCAGTCTGTCACTTGTGTCYAGCTAGTAGCCCTTGACTGATTGATTTATGGGCTGGCTGATTTTGTTGTTGTTGAGTGATTGATTGATTAATTGATTGATTGATTGATTATTTACAGGCAGAGGAAGATGGTGCCAATGTTGATCTTGATTCACAAAGAAAGGGAAAGTGTGCAGTCATAAAAACCTCTACTAGACAGGTATTACAATCATTCTATCTCTAGAATCAAAGGTGGTGTAGCAGCTGCAGTAGAAAAAATATGGTGTCTTATGAAATTAATCATGTTTCAATTCAGACATATTTCTTACCTGTCATTGGATTGGTGGAGCCAGAGAACTTGACGCCAGGTGATCTTGTGGTGAGTACCATACATATGAGTATTATTATTCTTATGAAAAAAACTTAATTCTAAAGTCTATTTTGTATCATTTTAGAAGTTTTCATTTTGCACAACAATATATTTATGTTTTTCTAGGGTGTAAACAAGGATTCATACCTAATATTAGAGAAGCTCCCAGCTGAGTGAGTAATGGTTTTTCATTTACATTACATAAACATGGACCATACACCATGATGCAAAATGAAATTCAAGAATTTCTTCTTAGCACCAACATGTTTGCAAGCATTTTGTGCACAGCAGAATTTTAAATAGATTGAATTATGGTTTAATGGTTTACAGGTATGATTCAAGAGTCAAAGCTATGGAGGTTGACGAAAGGCCAACAGAACAATATAGTGACATTGGTGGATTGGATCAGCAGATTCAGGAGGTAGGTGTTGCAATTCACCTTGGGATTTAAGTATTATTGTATATGTCTTGTTTGTGACAGCTATAATATTGTTTTATTCCAGTTAGTAGAGGCCATTGTCTTGCCCATGACACACAAACAGAGATTTGAAAATCTTGGAATTGCACCTCCAAAAGGTAATGATTTGAGGGTTTTTCTTCAGTTTCTCTGGTTTTCCTCCCTCTACAAAATGAACAAGCTAAATTGCGATTTAGGGAGTTATTTAACCAAGCAAATCAATACTAATTTGTTCAGACCAGAGGTTGTTTCAGGATAATGTGAACATTTTGAGACAGTCATAGATATTATGTTCAAATAAACATTCTGTTCAACCAACATGATAGCATGGTACATGCCCCTGTATTATAGAGAGCTATAATTATATTTACTGTATGATGTTATGTGTTATTTTCAGGTGTCTTATTATATGGACCTCCAGGGACAGGAAAGACTTTATTAGCGAGAGCCTGTGCTGCTCAGACAAAGGTTTGTAATAAATCATAACAATTTTGAAAATATCCTTTTGAAGATTTATTATACTGAGAAGGTTCAAAATGTGCTGCTTTTTTGACACTGTTTATTTATTTCTTTGTTTAGTCTACATTTTTGAAGTTGGCAGGGCCACAGCTTGTACAGGTAAGAAAAAAAACCTATTACTTTCCCCACTAGTAGCTCACATTCAGTGGATAGAGCCAGTTTTATACAACTATGGAGAATTTACTTTACTGACTTGATCTGTCATGATGGTGTCATGTGCTATCATTTTCAATGTATAAGAGCAAGGTCAAAAATATCAGACTGAATGACATGTGACCAGTCAATGTGACCAGGCAAGAAGACTAGTCTAATTGGTGTTTGGCTGGACAAGTGTCAATGTTGGTCAGACATTGTAGCTTGACTAACCATTATTCTTACAAGAAAAATTGGAGACTAAAGTATTGGACATTTTGACAACCTCATGTCGTGATTCTCAACAAAATTTATTACCTATTGCTCAGCATTAACATAGAGAAGAGATTAATTATTTTATCCCTGGAGAAGTGATTTTGCACACTGTRGTTAGCATGTAATGGAAGTTGTCAAATCCCATATGATGACAGTCCCATGAGCTCTGCAATTCCCTCCCAGTCATATGGAATCCACTCTAACCTTATTCCCTTTACCAGATGTTCATTGGTGATGGCGCTAAACTTGTGCGAGATGCTTTTGCTCTTGCAAAAGAAAAAGCACCAGCAATCATCTTTATTGATGAATTGGATGCCATTGGAACCAAGGTTGGTAACAGGTGTCCTTGGTTCTTCAACTATGTATATTATATCTGTTACCTCTGCTCAGGTTGTTTGATTACTGAATTCATTTTTTTTTCTTTTCCTGATAACAGAGATTTGATAGTGAGAAAGCAGGAGACAGAGAGGTAAGGATATTGCTGATATTGCTTAACAACTTAAAGATAACCTACTAATACCCTAGTGACCTTCACCCAATGTGAGGTTTCAAACCATTCATTGATTCTCAAATCTTATCCCATCATTTCTTATAAATGCTGTCCAATATTCATTTGCAGTAGTTGTTGGCTGTTGGCTGTATATATGTCAATAAATCTGATGCATGTTTATATTTAACCTTTACAGGTCCAGAGAACTATGTTGGAGCTGTTGAATCAGCTTGATGGTTTTAGTTCTCATCATGATATCAAGGTATCTTTACTTAACGTCATGCTTAACAAATAATTCAAGTTACCAGAAAGGCCATTTCATGAATCCCTGGCAATGAGCCATCTTAACATGAAACCATGCTGATCCTTTGGAGGTTTCTTTTTCTTTGCTTTCAGTTAATGGTTTGAAAACTGACAGTTCTATTTATATAATGTCTTTCTTGGCACATGTGAAAAAAATAATTTCCTTCCCTTTTTCATTGTTTTTCCAACAGGTCATAGCTGCTACCAACAGAGTTGATATCCTTGATCCTGCCTTACTGAGATCAGGTAACTATTATAATCTAATAATTACTGATCTTATCAAAATCCATTGTTTTCAGTCTGCATTATCCCAACGAATGCATAGAGGCAAATCAGACATATTTAGTTCATTCATTATTGGCTTTGTTTCTATGATAAACAAGCTAGAAAGAAAACAATTGGATTTTGATAAGAACAATAATTATACTAGATAATCACTTCGGCACACAGCATTTGTAGGTATAATGCAGGCAGCTTCGGGCAATGCCCTCAGCTGCCTGCATTATACCTACGAATGCTGCGTGCCTCAGTAATTATCTATTAATTAGTATTTTGATTTGCTATGCATTCATATTTTCTGATGTTTCAATGTATGCTTTATTAGGTCGCTTGGATAGAAAAATCGAGTTTCCAAACCCAGATCAAGAAGCAAGAGCAAGAATCCTGCAGATTCACTCCAGGAAAATGAATGTCAGGTAATATTATATCTTCGCGTAAGGAGAAATTACTGCATAGATTATGTTACTTTGCTCATTTCTAAATCAACATACCTGTTTTATTTGTAGTTCTGATGTTAACTTTGATGAGCTGTCTCGCTGTACTGATGATTTCAATGGTGCCATGTTAAAGGCAGTTTGTGTTGAAGCTGTAAGTACATGTATAGAACAGTATCTTTATCCTTAAGTACCTAGTCTTCAAATAAAACACTAATGAAGAGAGGAATATCTAACAATAAGACCCACAGCCTGAATAGTCAATAAGGCATAAAGGCAAATGGGCTATTGGGACAGGGCTATTGGCTCATAGACCATGAGGGCAAGAGGTCTAATTGTTTTAGTATAAGCCTACTTATTGGAAATATAATTGGAAACAAAATATTATGAAACTAGGTTGAAAAAAWTTTTTTTGGTGCTGTCTTGGTTTTCAAAACTGGTACTTTTCGCTGAGTACTAGCCAATTGCCACTAATAGACATCTAGTAGCTCAGCCAATCAGAGAGCAAGATTTGTGATGGTCAGATAGTAGGTTTAGACTAAAAATATATAGCCATTGATGCTCTGGAGGAGCTTAATTTCATGGTAATGAGGATATCAATGTCAAATTACTTTTTCTTTAAATTTACCTGYGGGTTCATAAAAGCTTCTTTATTCTATTGTAGGGCATGATTGCACTGAGACGTGAAGCCACTACAGTGTGCCATGAAGACTACATGGATGGTATCATGGAAGTCAATGCCAAGAAGAAAGCAAATCTTGTCTACTATGCTTAATTTGTACAGTAAAATAAAACATCTGCTTGGATTAACCAGACTGGAGAACTAGAGTGATATGATTGCAAATTCAAACTGAACARTACCCTGAGATGCAATTATCACGAAAATAGCCTTCATTTTTCTGTTCTTTACCACATTAAAATGAGAAAGGAGTGTACGCAATGTAAATCAATTTCACTTGAAACTTTATTCCATTAAAACTGTTGTTAATTTAATTATTCTTGTCCTGTTAGGGGAGGGGGAGTGCTAACTTCCATATGGTCAAGGCCAGGGATGATTGTTGTATCTTAGGGGTTAAAACTGTGAGTCACTCCCACTTTTAAACGTGAAAAAGGAAAAGCTGTCTGCTTTTAGCAYGTTTCATTTTTTTGTTTTAAATAATTCATTTTGTTTCAAAGTGGCATCTTTAAGGGTTAAGAATAAACCAAGACTTTCCACACCCAAACTAACTCTTTAAGGGGTTAAACTTATTTATTTTTTCATTCAATTATTCCCACCTTTTTTACATCAAGGTAACCCCCGCCACACACCACAGGGTTCGTGCTACTCCTTAAAATCCTTGAAAACTCCTTGAATTTAATTCACGTTTTCAAGGGCACTTGAAAAGCTCTTGAAATTTACGATTTTAGCCAAATTCCTTGAAAACTCCTTGAATTTTTGCTTTGATCGTTACTTCCATTGTTCTGAAATAGATCTAGTCAGAAAGATTGGAAAATCTGAAAGTCGGCCATGTGCAACCACCGTGTAAAACCTTGGCATACTTAGCTGAACATACTCCTTGCAAATTCACTTTTGGGTATTTGTATACTCCTTGAATTTTAAGTCATTACCTCAGCACGAACCCTGGGAGCAGCTTGTGGTTGCTTCATTTCAATCTAGTCTCAATACACCATCCGGACAGCAATGAAATTAAATCAAATGGGTGGAACGCTTTGGGAAGGAAAAGAATTGGGAAATAGAAAATAGTTCTTTTTCTTGGTTACGATAAATGTTCATAGTGAAGCTTGGCAAATCATGTCATTCTGGATGAAAATTAAACAACGAATCTTATTTCCAAGAAGTATGAAATAGGAAAACATTGCGCCAAAAAAAAAAGAAAACGACGCGTCTCCCACTTTTTGTTGATCATATTTGGGCTTCCTTTACATTCTTAGTTCCACAAAGGCCTGAAAACGAAACTGGGCTGGGAATGGGCACGTGATAATATCTGTGGATCTGATTGGTTGATAATGAGGAGTAAAGTAGAAAGAGCCAAAACAGAAGAAGCAGACTTCACCTGAACGATTGAACCAAACAATRTTCGTTAACCTTTAATGTGGTTTTTCTTTCGTCAAACTTTAATGTTTTGAACAGATCACTGCTGCCTACTATCCCTGAGACTCTAAGGATTGAAAAACAATTAATAATGTGAGCAGTTTCTTGGCATTTTCAAGCCACAGGGGTAAGACTATTTGGTGTTTAAAATTGCAGGGTATTTTGTGAAGCCTCTGAGTTGTCGATGAGATGAAAATATATTAACCTTAAAAAGATTTATCCCTCGAATATTGGACTCTAAATCATACATAGTTAAATACTGGTGTATTTTCCCCCCRTTTCATTGTTGTTTTATATGGATTGAATAGGTTGTTTATAAGATAAAAGCTCGGTATCTTTTTCCACAGGTGTTGTGRTGGTGATGGTGACAAGCTCGTCGTTCTGAAGCAACCAAAATTGAACGTTTAAAACCAGCGAAAAGGTGTTTACTTAAGGATCGTCGTTTGAAGAATCTATTATATGAATACACAAGTTTATTATCCGATTACTATTGTCTTCACAAGATACAGATTGACGGTATTTCACGAGCTTTGAACTGGAAATTCCTTGATATTTGCTCGAGGTTTCAACCATCTGGACAACATTAGCCCTATATTGTTGTGACATTCTTCATCTATCTGTCGTCATTATTGCTTTAGACAAAAGCGATTGCCATTTATAATAATGATGTTGAATTGCTGTGGAGAAACCAGCAATAGTCGGATCGTACAAGCAGTTTTATAATCAAGACTTAAGAACATTTGAAGAACAGAAAATCTCTTCATTCCATACTTGAAAAAAGCAAGATACCAAACTACAATACAGACTTCAACCAGTAGCCGGTCTTTTACGATAAATACAATAAAAAAACGGCTTATCATTTTTGGATTATATGAGTAGCAAAGAGATTGTGGGTGCCAATTCAAGGCAATGTAGCATCGAGTCAGGCCTGACTCAAATTATTGGACCAGTGTTAGTATGCATCCCAGAGAAAAAGCTCAAGGAGGTAAAGGTTAGTCTATATCAAGCATTATTTTGTGGGTTTTTTATTCATATATTTTGTTAAAATAGTTGCACACAATGTGTTTTGTCTGGTAGAATTGTCTATGGTGTTTGAGCTATGTTTGTTATTGTACTATTGTCCTAAGGAATGTAAATAAACTACTAAATAGCTCATCCACAGCTACAGTACTAGACAGGAAAAATAGATGATGAGGTCTCTTTTCTTAATTGAATAAATAAAAAATAGTAGGCCCAAAAACGAACAAAGTTATTATCCTTTAAATGACATAAGAGTAATTAAAATATTCATGTCTAGTCACAAATATTTGCTTGATGTAAGGGATATTTAATATTGATATAATCAAACCTTAACATAAGGCAAAACTGCACCAGACGTGTTAGCAATAGCTCAGTGATTAAAAATATTTACATCCATGTGTAGTTATTAAAACTACATAGGTATATTTTCTATATATTTATCCTGGTTGAACTATCATATAAGAACATCCTACATATAGATATCTTAGGATGAATTAGTGCTTCATGATCATTGATCCAAACCCTGAAGCAACCCTTAGGCTAATGTAAATCAAGTCATGGCTCATGTGCAGATTGAGTTAGAATTTAGCATGTTTTCTGATGTTTTTCGTAGTCTTTTTCACTTTCATTGTGTGTAATGTATTTTTGCACTATGAATATATTAATGAAGGTAGCTGTACTTCTTACTTTAAAACTTTATCTCCCAAATAGAAAAATTATCTGTGTATTTATTTGTGATCCTCGGAGATTCTTCCATATCTGTCATGATTTGTCATCTGTATTTTGAATGTAAATGCAATCAAATATTACATAAAGTGTTCCTTAGGGTATATTGTGAAATAAGGGATATTGTCAACAGTGCTATCATGTTGGAATATGATAATGAATGGCATCAAACTTTATCACATGTTGACAGAACAAGCTCCAGCAAGAATATTATTATCATTTCATATTCTAAATTACTTGTTCGTCATTGCCTTCAGGCATTTGGACACTTGTCTTATTTTTATCTTGGATGACGTATGCTTGTAATGAATAATCCTAGGCTTGAAGTACTGTCTAAAGATATAATATAATATTATCCATCTTTTATATTCTACCAAGGATTAACTCAGAAGGCCATAATTTTGTCTGTAAATGAAATAGAGTAATCATTTGTGTGTTTGGGGACTTATGTTTGATTCCTTGAGTCACATATGAGCAAAATTTATTAGCTGTCTCCAATCGCTTCAATTAAGGGTTTGTTTCCTAAGGTTTCTCCAGTTATCCTCTTTCCTGTAAGCTTGATCAGATAAATTATAATTCAGTTTGTGAGTAAGGTGTGCTCTGACGTTTATCAGCCCATATGTTGTTTCAGGGTTTGATAAGATTTGAAGGTGTGTGTGTGTGTGTATAGTTTTACCCTTGCCTGCCCAATGTATTTATCAAGGTTTTGAAAAGCTATAATAATTCTTATACATTCTAAGGTATATCAGTAAGATATGTTTTTTATAATTGGATCTAAGAATATTACTTCCTCCTCAAATCATTGTTATCTGATTATATCCTGATGTTGACAGTCAATATCCCTCAGGACTTGAATGATTATAACCCATACGGTAGCTATTGATGAGGGTATTGTCATTATATTGGTATGGTTTCTTTGTTCACTCCTCCAGGGGTCARACCAATTGCCTGTTCCGTCAACAGCAGCATCAAAAATGGCCAAGATGAAGAAGAAGATGCATTCTCCTCTATCAAAAAGGAAAAGTGGAAGCAACCAAGGTAACCTAAATTTTTTTTTTATTCATTTTTTTTTAATCCTTGACTGATTATTTCATAATGACTTTTCTTGTATTATTTTTTATAAGCTCTGACCCTTATAATTGATAAAACAATTAATCAAAGTATTTTGTTTGTTCAATATTATAATTCTTCTCTGTTGTCACCAGTCACTTTGCCACCAGTGAAATATGTAGACATAATACTAAGAYGTCTGTCACATCCAACATTGATTATTCACAGGTTTCTTGGTGTTTTTGCATATGTCAACTATTATTTTTGTATTATGCTTTCATGTAACAGCTATAAATAGACACTACCCAGTGTGGGTTTCCTGTGGTGGAAAGCACAGGAATCCCTCACTCTCATTTCTGTCTTTTGAGATTTAGATTATCATAAATGCATGTCTGAATAGACAAACTGTTATGACAAAAACTGATATTGATAAATAGGTAGAGTGGGATGAAGTGGGATGAAATGGGATGATAATGAATTAATGGATGGATGTAATGGATGTAATGGATGACATGGATGGATGGATAGAGTGGGATGATGATGAATAGATGGATGAATGTAATGGAATGACATGGATGGATGGATAGAGTGGGATGAAATGAGATGATAATGAAATTGGATGAACTGATGGGATGACATGGATAGATAGATATAGTGGGTTGAAATGGGATGATAATGAATGAATTGGATGATATGAATGGATGGATAGAATAATGGTAATGATACATCTGTTGTATTTTAGCATTGGAAGAATCTTCATCAACAAATAAAGTGTTTGGTGTATCTCTGGAGGAATCTTGTAAAAGTCTTGAAGGATCCCCAGTACCATGGGCTGTCACAAGAATAGTAGACTACTTGACCAAGTGTGGTATGTTACAAGGGTATAACAGATAACTGAAGCACAGAGGCTTGTTTCCAATCTGGACCTCAGTTCCTGATCAAATTTGAATTTGGAAATTGATTTCTGCACAGGAATGATAACTGGAAAACCTGGAAAAAAAACTTTGAAGCACAAGAGAGAACCAAGTGAACAAAATAGCTGTACTCACATATGATACTGAGACAAGCAGGAATTGAACCCAGGTCGCATTGGTCAGAGATGATGAATTAGCACCGCTCACCAAACATGATTCCCAAACTACAAAAATATGGGCACAACATCATTATTATATTTTAATTGCATATTTTACCATGCGTTATCTTATCTATCCTTCTATGCAGTGTCCTTATCTTATCTTTCCCTGATTTTATTCTTTATCTTCTTATGACGTAGGTCTTAGAAATGAAGGGATATTTCGTGTTAGTGGAAATAAGAAAAGTGTTGATATGATGAAAGCAGCTTTTGATAGAGGTAAGCTTTAGTCTCGACTATCTCAACAAGAAATGAGAAGAAAAAAGCAGTGTACAGGCTGTACAGTATGTCATAGTCAACCCAGTAAATGATTGCACATCGTGAGTCTTTCCTGTAGCTCAGTGTTAGAGCATCTGATTTGTATCTGGAAGGTCATGGATTTGATTCTTATCAGGTACTCAGATTTTCTTCAGAGTTCACCGTTCAGCTAGTGACAAATTAATGATGAATTATTCTATATTTATTTATATAGTTTGCCAGTATGAATCAGTAGAATATTTTGTGAATGCATATATTAACAATAAGCCCTTGAATCATGTTTTAATGTGTATTTTATATTTTAATAGGAAAACAGTAAACTTTCCAATTGATTTTAATTCTATTTTAAATAATATTAGTAAAAATATGCAGGTGATTATAGAAAATCTCATGCGCTGATTGGTCAAGAAACTCACACTATCACATGATAATCACCTTGAGCAAAAATCCAAAATGGCGGCCAGCCGCTTTGTTGCTGTTACCGGGAAAAAATGCCTTTTATCTTCTTTTTTTCTTTTTTTGAAAGAATCACCTGTGTAATTATACTAAAACAATTATTTGCCTCAGGATCAGTGATTATTGGGGAATATTTACCTCGCCGCTCAAAGACTCACGTCTCGGTAAATATTCCCCGATAATCACTTCACCTTTGGCGAATAATTGTTAAATACTTGTAAAGGCCATTTAGAAAACTGTGAGTTCCAAATTGAATGTCATGTCAGAATCCATGATAAGCAAGGCCTGTGCTTGATAACTTAATAATTGTTGTGTAGACACTTCTTATTTAATTATTCCTTTTTTTTAAGATAATGATGCAGACTTGGAAGAAATAGGAGATGTGATGGGTGTTGCCGGCTTGTTGAAACAATACCTCGTAAGTTGTTTATTAAAAAAATACTTTTTTATTGTAATTAGTATTAATGTATTCAGACTGTATTACTGAAACTACTGTATAAAATAACAAAATAACGTCCTTTTTTCATGAGGGTAGCACTTAATAGCCAGTGGCTAACAAAACTGTGGCCCTCATTCCATGATCGAATTGGAATTTAGGAGTTGGTTTTTGCGGAGGGAGGAAAACAGGAGAACCTGGAAAACCCTCGAAGCACAGGAGAGAACCAACAAACAACTCTACTCATATACAACACTGAACCTGGCGGGGCTCAAACTCAGGTCGCATTGATGAGAGGCGAGCGCTCACACTGCTACGCCACCCATGCTTCCGTGTATGAGTTTGTATAAAAGTAGTAAGAATGATATTGGCCAAAACAGGTACAAAGTTATAATGATGGCAAAGGGCCAAATGGAAAATAAAACTTCAACAGGTGAAAAATTAACTTCCAATATTCTCTTGCCCTGAATCAGTGTAATTTAAAAATCTAAAACTAATTAATTTAATAATTAATGACAAAATGCCTTGGGATGAATACTTTCTGGTAGGACACGTTGGAAAATACCACTTGCATTAGTAAATACACTTGCCTTAGAGAAACTAGAAAATGAAAGTGACTCTTGGGTGATCCATGTTATATTATTGGTATCAATTAGGCCTAGGGCAAATGTCRAAMTTTCCATGCACCGAACTCATTAAAAACAATGGATATCAGGTGATAATGAGGCRGCATTCTTTGATGTAATTAAGTTCAGTGCATGGAAAGTTCAACATTTGCCCTAGGCCTTATTTACTTATGTGTTTTGGCTTTTGTTTAACAGAGAGAACTTCCTGAGCCACCCATCCCACAGAACCTAACACAAGAGTTTATCAGAATACATGAAGGTAGGTGTCAGGAGTAAGAAGAGTATAGAATATCCAATCCTTGCTATTCTTTGTTTACACATTATGTCAAAGATTTCTTTGTATATAAAACCAACATTGCAGCCATGTCTTTAATTGTCATTTCATTCACTTGGGCATCATTGCAAACAATCAATAGATAGATAATGTCCTTGTTCTAAGTACAGTATTATTCTTGTTTAGTTTATGGAGATGACAATGCTGAGTGCTTGGATGAGCTTCAAGCACTGTTGGATAGACTGCCATACTTGAATTACCAATTGGTCAAATATTTGTGTCATTTTCTTGTAAGAGTCTCCAAGGAAGAAGGTAAGAATCTTAGTATTAAATATACATCAGCATCTCCATCTTTATCTGTTATCTTTGATATACTACAACTCTTTTTACCATGCAGGGGATTTTTTCCTGTCAGTATACATTCCTCACACAGCGTTATTGAACAATCATACTTTGGCACCTTTGACAGCAGTCAAACATACAGTAAAATGTCATTCCCTTTCAATGAAGTTTGAATTAAAAAAATGACCAAGATGAAAGGTCGCTTGAGAGTTTTGCCAATACACTAGTCAATATTTGAACATAGAAAAATAATAATTAAAAGTATTTGCATTGTTYATCATCATTATCGTCATCATCATTATCACCATCATCAGCAACATCACTATTATATTGATCATTATCAACAGCAGCTATATATTTGCTTTGATATTATTTACAGAATACAATAAGATGAATACAATGGCTCTTGCTATAGTCTTTGGTCCCAACCTTTTCAGGTACGAGATATTATCCCCTGTAGAGCTTCTTATGTTTTTCCGTATTTTTTTTCATTTTTTTAAATTCAGGCAATGATTAGAAAATGTTTTATTGAATGATTAAATGACTGATGACTGATTAAGTTACTATTTAAAAGATAATACATAAATGTTGTCGTTAGTCAAATTAAAAATGGGATAAAAATGGGATGAAAATGGGATAAATGATTAAGTGGAAAATAACAAATATATTCACTTTCAATGATATCTTCTTAAGTTCATATTATCCAGAGAATGAATCACATCATTGTTGTTGTTTTTGTTAAAGGTGTAATGATGGCTTGGAGGGTTTAAAGGAACAAGGCCACACTAATGCTATTCTCTGTAAATTCTTAGAAGATTATGATAATCTTTTTAAGGTGAGTCTAATGTATGGTGCAAATATAAAGGTTTTYGTTTTATACAGGAATCTGGGTACCTTTATAGCTTATTATCTTTTGCTTACAGGATGATGATGAAGTTTCCCCATATGCAACCACAGATTTGTTTATCACTGACCGTGGGTAAGTTGCAAACTACTGACAGTATGATTTAGAAAATAATTTAGATATAATGTGTGCTGTGCATTTACCATGTTAATGAGAGTATTAAACGCTCACATCATTCTAAGATTCCGCACGCATGCTATGAATTCAAAGGTTCTTAGGAAAAATTCAACAGTATTTTTTGTTAATTTGTGCATTATTTTGGTATTTTATGAAAGGAATATAAATGGTTTTTTATGCTTCTGTCATGTTTTCTCAGCATTCTGTGTGTTTTAATCAAAGTATCAAACACAGAAAACTATTTAATATTTCTTCAATCATTTTTTCATTCAATTATTTATTATACTAAGGGGAAATTGTCTTTATATTCAGCTCATCTGATTCTCTTAATACTGGCCCATCCATTTCAGACAAGGTATGTCTAGTCGATGTATGACAATAGCACATTTTAGTTGTATGACCACAGCCTCCTCACATCTACAGCACATGGAAAAGTTAAATAGACACACTGAATGCAATACCAACCTTGTAGATGATGGGACATGCCTAACCTGCAAACAGAACATTTCAAGTTCAAATCCCACCTGAGGCTCAGAATTTTTTAAAAGAAAAATTGGCTTGATGAAACCTAACTTATATCTCTGATGGGACACTTGATGGAATATAGACTTGCTCATACTATCTTCTTGAAGTCATGTCACATTTGATGAATAATAGTAACTTGGATGAACCTTGCGTTACTGACTTGGTGTTTGTATTTGCCCTTGTTTTTCAGGCCATTCAAGAAGGATCTACAAGCGAAGAGGAGGTTCCAGTGCCTAGTACATCCACCTCTGATACAACAAGTCAACATGAACCTATCTATGCCTCTATTGATAAAACCAAAAAACATCTCCTTCCTACAAGGTACTGTATGTGTACTATGGGTGGTTCAGTAAGTTAGTGGTGGGCGGGTGTGTACAACAAGACAGGGGGTCAGCAGGAACCTATCTATGCATCTATTCCTGCAAGGTATGTGTACTATGGGTGTCTCAGTGAGTTAGTGGTGGGTGGAGTAGAGTGGGTAGGACGAGGTAGGACATCTGTCTCTGTTAAAATAATTGTTAGATTTCAGTGGTAATTAAGTTGTAAACATTTATTCTTCTTGACATCAGTGTATCATCATCATCAGAAGAACTAGATTTGTATGTCAGATCAGTGTCTCCTTCAATGTGGCATTCAAACACCAGCACTAATGGCAACAACAGGTATTTCATTTTTATCCTCTTAATGGAATTATATGAATATCATGTACCCCAGATTCGTAGTTTTGATGCATGCAGGCCAAGCCGCTGGTCAGGGAATAACACTTTGTACCTTCAGTTACCATGGAGATGCAGACATGTGACATGTAAGGTTGCAATGGTTATCAAAAAAGTAAAATTGGGAAATGAGTTTAACCTGGGGGAACAAGGTTCTTGCAAGAAGTGTTGCATTCAGCATTGCTTTAATGTTTACGGGGCACATAAGTTAAGTTAAAGTGTGAAGTGTCAATAATATAATCTTTGTATTCTAGTCATAATGGTAGCCACACTCATCATCAGCATCAGGAACAGCCTGGAAGAGAGTATGAACTTGATTTATTCTTGATTCATTTGATAACAAATTATAAAATTTGGGATACTACGCGCACTATGATTGGTCAAAAACCATGTTTAACGAGAGTATCAAAACACGCTATCATCATTTTAGCGCGCGCGAGTATTGCAACTGTCAGATATTAATCTATCGCAAGCGCTCATTGGCCAGTTTGAATAAGACAGCACGTAGGGAGAATTTAGTTATACTTGTTTTTTTTGTTGTTTTTTTTKATCTTTTTGTGCGTTTGTTATTTTATGAAACAGATCAAAAACAGTTTTCCGTGTTTGATACTCTGATCAAAACACTTGGGATGTTGGGAGAACACTCGAGAAGCTGGAAACCACTCCGCTACACGTCGTGGTTTCCTGCGCTCCTCTCGTGTCCTCTCAACATCCCGCGTGTATTGATCAGAGTATCAAACACAGAAAACAGTTTTTGATCTGTTAAACAAAAGTATTTTATATTTTGTATGCAACAACAAAAAGAGTTCAGGGATTAAAATAACAGGGAATTAGTCACTGGTCATGATCATGGGCTAAATTAATTTTTGCTCAGTTATTCCTAATTTCTGGCTAAACATACTGATGAAAATGGCCGGCAAGGCAAACATTTGACCAGACAAGCCCTACTTCTGGCTGGACATTGTCATATGTCCAGCATTTATTTTAAGCCCTGGAGTTCAATTAAAAGTCTTGTTGTTTTATTGTGGGCACAGCGTGGTTCAAATGGTCATAAAGGACAGCATCAAGGAGCACTTGTTTGGTCCAGACACGGTATCCACAGATGAGAATGAATGTAGTGCAACAGATTCTGAAATCTCCAGGGGACAGTCTGCAGAATCATTAGATGACGGTAAGATCTTAGAACTTTTCTAAACTAAATGTTTCTTCAACAAAAAATAATTTATTTTTGAGCTTTCAGGTATTAGAGCCCATCTTCAGGGATTATGATAGTATTATTCATCATTAACAGATTTTATTTATTTTTATTTTATTTTATTTATCTTAGTAATTCCTCGTGTTTGTTTACATTTTTACGGTTGTTTGTTGTTTATTTTGTTTCATTCATGTGAACTTTTAATTCAAAGAATTTATTTGAATTTCTTTTCATAATCAAAGATATACCTTTACTTTTCTTTATGATTTATTAATTACTTATTGGTAATAACTATCTCATAGTTACTGCTCCACCACTACCAGCAAGGCATTACGGGGAAGAAGAGACCAGTAAACCTCAGCCAAAAAGAAGAAAAAATGTCAAAAAGCAGAAAAATCTGCAAGGTAATTGAAATCAATACAGCACTGATCATAGACACTGCCTAACAAACCTGTGGTTCAGTGATTATTGRAGTTTATGAGTTAATTTTTATGAAGGGAGGAGAATAGAGAACCCAAGAAAAAATCTATTGATTATTGTTATTTTTTACAGCGCATCTACTTTAGTTAATCCTGTTTTTATCTGACATAATTTTCTTCTATAATATTAGACACTGTTTGTGATATTCCTGACAATCCTGGCCGTCCCTTACCAGTCCTAACTGATAGTGATCAATCATCTTCAACATCTAACAAGAAGAGAAGTCAACTAACTGTGAACCTAGAAGCAATGGATCAAAAAGAATTAGTTATTTCCTTGGTGAGATAGAGACTGAGAATGGAAACTTTTTACTTTATTCAGATCAGATGTGTTTACTGTCAAATTATAAATACAGTAAAACCCCTCAATACCGGACAGTGCTGGGACCCATAAAAATTTCCGGTTCAGCGGGGGTTCCGGTATACTGAGGTTTTTGCAATAACCATGAAAAAACAGTTTTTTAATTAATTAGTCTTTATATGTCTATTTGTGAACAAGATTTACTATTTAAAAAATTTTCGATGATTTTGTGAGTTTAGAAGTTGTCCCTGTAGGCTCAATTAATACAACCGCAAATAAGCTAGTGACGGTAGTTCCGAAACAAAGGTACGTTCGGGCCTTCTTCCGGACAAGCGGGTTGAATTCTATTGTCAAATAGCTTTTGGTACCGAAATTATCGTCCGGTTTCTGGAATAGAGAGGTTCCGGTTTACTGAGGTTTATTTTACAAAAGATATATGGGAAAGATTTCTGGACCAAAACTTTTGTCCGGTTTAGAGAGAATTCTGGTATACTGAGGGTCCGGTATAGAGGGGTTTCACTGTACTGTTTAATAAATGAGCAGGAGTGTTTTATCAGGGATAAAACATGAGGCGCAGTCGAGTGGTTTTAGACCAGATGAAACACGATCTGCGAGTGTATTAAAYGGCTTAAAAAACTCATGATGTATATTCTCATACTGTACCGAATTCGTTACGAAATGAACCAAGTTTGATCGAGAAAATCCTAATTAAAGTTTATGCAAATGAAGACGAAATTATCTATGTCACATATAAAACCTCCTTCACGGTCATGATTTCTAGTGTGTTTCCTTCATGAATTATTCATTAGTTTTTTAAGGTTTTTTATTTAAATATTTTAAATTTATATTTATTTTTCTGTCATTTTTTAATTGCTTAATAGAATAACCATATGTCATAATATAACAATTTTCAGGATCAAAACAGTAACAGTATTCTACAAGTCAGACCAAAGGTAGTGATTTGTGAATTCTACATGTATTCTAGTTGTTTTGTTGTTTATTTTTTAATGTACGTAACAGTTGACCATGCATTGYATCATTGCAGAGCAATACAGCAATATCTGGCAATGCCACAGGCCAAGATCATATCGTTCCCAAGGTGAATATATGGTCATTATTTGAAAGTTATAAAGACTAAATACTGGACCTCTTTATCTTGGTTGTAATGTTTTTCCATTTCAGACCATGTGTCATTCTCTTGAGAATAAGACTCTTTGTTTAAGTTGTATTCATATTCATATATCTTCCCATGCATGACTGTTAAACAAAGAAATGATACTCTAGGAAATGACATGTGGTCTGAGTTTTTTAGTTTTTTTTTTTTAGTTTTTTTTAATCCTGATAAAACATTATCTTGTTTCTGAAGCAGGATGAGTTGAGTGATCTGCCCAAGAACTTTATCCATCCCCTGGTTGAGGAAGCTAAAAACAGAGGCAAGATAGCAACACCACCACCCAGATCACCTCGATCACCTAAAGTCTCCAAATCACCTCCCTCTCCTTCATCACCCAACAAGGTAATGCCGTGATTGTGTTGCCCTGTAGTAAAGAAAGTGATGCACTTGTTTATGTTGATCATGTTCTGTATTGTATTGTATTTATAGCATGGAACAATAGATGAAGTAGATGGTGGGTACAACCCTGTCAAGGAACTTACTAAACAATATAAAAAGGTAAGAACCATTATATTATTGATGAAAACACAAAGACAGACAGTCAGTCAGACAGACAGACAGACAGATAGACAGAGATGCTGCTGATACTGACTGAAAGATGGACAGACAGACAGATAGATAGAGATGCTGATACTGACTGAAAGATGGACAGATGGACAGACAGTCAGATAGAGATGCTGATACTGACTGAAAGACAGACAGTCAGATAGATAGAGATGCTGATACTGACTGAAAGATGGACAGACAGACAGATAGATAGAGATACTGATACTGACTGAAAGATGGACAGACAGACAGATAGATAGAGATGCTGATACTGACTGAAAGATGGACAGATGGACAGACAGTCAGATAGATAGATATGCTGATACTGACAGACAGACAGTCAGATAGATAGAGATGCTGATACTGACTGAAAGATGGACAGAAAGGCAGAGGAACACAGACAACCGACTGAAAAGGACAACTTAGTCTGGTGGTAGGCAGAGGATAAGGAGGATTGATAGGCTTAGAGGGCAGATGGAGGCAGATGTACAGACCCAACCACCCTAACTGACGTATAGGGAGGCACATGTACCATTACTGACTAGCTGGCGGCTGACTTACCGAATGACCAAGGCAGCAACTGACAAATATCCACCCTCCCATACATACTGACTGATCCAGGCAGAGACAGAAGGATAGACAGAAATACAGACATACAGAAATATGAATCTACATCATGACATTGTCAAGCAGAATTTTGACTTTTGGATTGCTTTTCTTGTCAGAGAAGTAGAGGTGCTCCAGTTGTTCCTCCTCTAGAGTTATACAAATTACAACAAGGTGACGTAGGTGGGGGCTCTGATAATCTCATTAAATGTAAGTTGCATGTTGCTAATACTAATAAATAAATAAATAATGTCATAACCAATCTTATGCTGACAAAAATATTTCATTAGATGGCAAAGTAATTCAATCCTCTTATCAATAATTAATTAATAACTAATAATGCATAATATTAGTTAAAGTAATTATTATTGCTGGCTTGTGATTAAATAATTAATTATACAGCTTCTCATTAATCCCATATATAGGTAACTGTCCAATTATTTTCTTAATTGGACAGGTCTTGTTGATATGGGAATAATTAGGCAGCTATATAATTAACAGGTAATGTTATTTCATGCTCCCCAATCAAGAAATAATTAGACTCGAAAAATTCCTCTGACTGCCAAATTGGACTCGGCCTACAGCCTCATCCAATTTTTCAGTCCTCGGAATTTTTCTCGTCCAATTATTTCTTAATTGGACAGCATGGAGTCCTATTACATATACTAATATTATAACATATACAGATATTATTATTTTCACATTCTATTAAGTACATTTAATAATTTGACAATAAAATCTGACTAGATGATGTGCAGCTTTCACCAAGAGAGAGATATGATGGGTAAGCAAGATTTGTTGTTTGAGCTGATTTTATATGACTGTGAATAACTGCTGGGTGTGCTGTATCCATGTACTATATTCTGACGGGCAGGCAGTAGCATCAGCAGCTGGTCAATTGCCAGATCCTCGGCAACATCAGACAGCTGTAACTTGTAACTCCCAGTCTTGTAAAATCTACTCAGTTAATGCAGTCATAATGTTCATACATAACTTTCTTCCTAAACGTCTTTCTTTCATTCTCTCTTTCTTTCATTCTCTCTTTCTTTCTTCTTGCTCGTATTTGGTTGCCTAAAAGTTATAGTTATATTTGAACTCTAGAGCATGATGCACCATGTTTGCACTCTCAGAAAAGGTCTGTGCCGGAGTATACCATGCCCTTGAGAATAATAAGACTCTTTGTCTGAGTGAGATATATTTCAAATAGTTTTAATGTAAATAAAGAAAACATACTCAAGGGAGTGACAGATGGACCTTTGAAGCTGAAAGGTCTATTAGTTACACAGCCAATTGAGATGTACTGTAAGATGCATTAACTAGTAAAGACAGACTGTTTAGTTTGTTTGCATGAATGTGTTGTGATCAATGTCTGGTATTTGTAGCGTTGGTTCAGATGAAGCACTGTTATCACCTCGATCAAGACCACTTACTATTGATACTAAGAGGTCAGTTCCTAATGCACTCACACACAAAAAATAATTTAAGATTTTTATGTGATTAATTAATTWATTTATTTATTTAAATTTAAATTTATGTTTATATTTATATTTATATTCATTTATTTATTCGTTTTTGGTTTTTTGTTTGTTTACTTTGGCATTTTCAACTTAGGTAGAAATCCCTCTAGTTTTTCTTTTATACAGTTACTCTAACCCAAGGGTTTGTTTTTCAATATACTGGTAACTACTATCGATTAAAACTCTGCTTCACGTCCTGCTAATGTCCAGGTGTTAGTGATAACAGCTGCATGTTGCCGACTGTCATGCTGTAATGCTTGTATCTTATTGCTTATCTTGCATTCTTTCAATCTCAGTCATCCTCACTCACTTTGTTTTAATCACTTCATTTTTTTTTATTTGATTTGATATCCAATTCTTAGTCTTCTTATGGAACCTCCTCACACCTATGCAATAAACCCTCCTCAGACCCTCCCCACCCCTTGGAAATTCCTTCTATGGGGGGAGGTATGGATATTTTCTGGAACTACATAATATACCCTCTCCAGACCCTCCCCACCCCTTGGAAATTCCTTCTGTGGGGGGAGGTATGAATATTTTCTGGAACTATGCGATATACCCTCTCCAGACCCTCCCCTACCCTTGGAAACTTCTTCTTTGGGTGAGGTATGGACATTTTCTGGTACTACACAATATACCTTCCTCAAACCCTCCCCACCCCTTGGAAACTCCTTCTATAAGGGAGGTATGGATATTTTCTGGAACTATACAATATACCCTCTCCAGACCCTCCCCACCCCTTGGAAACTTCTTCTTTGGGGGAGGTATAGATATTTTCTGGAACTTCTAGACCCTTGCAACCCCTTGAAATTCCAACCCTGCTCCATGAAAGATGTTCTTTTTGCATGCAAAGTTGACTATGAATTGGTGTAATGCTAATCATTTGGTTATTTTATCATTGTCATTGATTTTGTGTTGTGTTTATCATATTGTGTGTATTTGTCTGACTAGTGGCCACAAACACATTTATTTCAGCAGTTATCCCACTGAATGTCCCCCCTCCCCTCCTCATGACCATGTTGAACCTTTCTGGTCCGAAAGAAGGTAAGTTTTGCTTCCCCCTGGCCCCGGAAAAGTTAATCAGGTAGATGGAATTTAATAATATTTCAGGTATAATAATGTTTCAAATAGGACCTTGCATGATGGCGTCATTTGACTCCCACTACCATAATACTTTGCAAATTTTCTTTTTTATTTAAATTTGTATTCCCTCGTGAGAATATTAAGACAATTGATGCTAATTAACTGAACAAAAGAAAGTGTGCAAGGGAGTCTGGTAGTAGAGGTCAATGACGCTATCATGCAAACGTCCTATTACATATTAAGGTACATGAAGAGAGTGCCAATTCATGAGGTTCAGTAGATGCTGCATGTTACGGCTGGGGCAATCTTTCGAGTTTCCCCGGGTCGGCCGTGTTAGAACAGCAAATCACTTACTGAGATTCCATCATTCAATCACTGCATTTATTAGAATCACGTAAAGACTGGGTAAAATACAATAAGGTATATCTGTATTAGTTAAAACCGCTTACAAATA